GGTAGGTTATCAAACGTTTCCTTGTCCATAAATGAAAAACCATATTTGATTTTTACTTTATCAGCCTTGCTCTGCTCCTGCCTTTCGTAAAATTCAGTCTCCTTGCTGAAGCTGTCGGGGTTTTGATGCTTGTACCTCGTTCTAAGATCAATGATCATGTTGTAACCATCCAACCGGACTATCCATCTCCCGATGTAGCTCTGATTCATTGAGTACGTCTTCAACCAACTGAGTGCCCTGTTGTCGACCCGTAGCTTGATGGGAACCTTACCCGGATTTGCCCTGTACTTTTCCACTAAGGTGTTAACCGCGAACATCTCCGCTTTAGTTAGAACTTCATTTCCGTGTCGCTCAAGACTTTACTCTCGTAGGCTATTTGTCTCAAGACTGTCTTCCCGTTCCATTCCTGTTCTTGATGGAGTACGCGACCACCGATGCATCAGTGTCCAGTAAGTTTGTTCCTTTCTCTGTTGGCATGCCTAGCACAGGTGCCTCACACAGTTCCTTTTTTTTCTTTGAAATGACTCTTCTGCCGCGTTATTCCACGTGAATTTCTTGCCTTTGTGCCTCATGAGTTGTTGCATCGTATATATCTTGTCCGCATAGCCCCTGATGAACTCCTTGTAGTAATTGTCAAAACCCTAAAAGCATCAGCTGGTGCTCAGTTTTTGGTGATTTTCAGGTCATTACTGCCTCTACCGCATCTTGGTCTGGTAGGATGCCATGTTTAAATACCATCCTTCCGAGGTGTTTTATAATTTCTCTTATTTTATTTAAATTGAGTCCTTCATAATCTCACATTTCGAGGGCTTGCATTTCAATCTTGCCCTCTTCATGCATGCGAGTACCTCATCCAGTCGTTCGATGCGGTCCTCCAGGGTAGGTGTTGCAATCACCACGTCATCTACGTAGCACATAACTAAGTTGCCATAATTCTTTGTCACGCTTGTCATTGCTTTTGCCATCAGTCGCTGGAACGTGGCTGTCGCGTTGCAAAAACCGAAAGGTATCCTTTTCCACTGGAACAATCCCAGCTCGCAAGCAAAACCCGTTTTGTCCCTGTCTTGATTCCTGAGTAATACCTGCCAAAAAGCCGACCGTAGATCAAGAGTTGTAGAAAACTTTGAATCTCACAATTTCGAAAGATTCTCATCTTTTCTAGGTATGGGATAGGCATCCTTCACCGTGACGGAGTTCAGATATCGAAAGTAACAACAAAATCTAAGTTGTTCCCCTTTTTTTTGGCTATCACTACTCCACACGCCCACGATGATTTGGACGGTACATGTCATACACTAGTAAGGTCTCTTTCTATTTTTTCTATATTCATCTGATTTGTTTGGGGTCATACAACTCGCCTTTTCCCTATGCGGTACCGCCAATTCCTCAAGCTCTATTTCTGTTCAACGAAATTACAGCACCCAATGTTTGCTTTATATTTCGAAAAAAAAACATCCTGATTCCTATCTAGCACATCCTTGATGTCTTCGAGCTGTTTCTCTGCTACTTTCCCCTTGGGTGTTTAATTTCTGGTAAACCCGGTTTATTCACTTCCATTTCTTCTGGTGTGTGTCTTTCTGGAAAATTTGAAGACCTCGAAAGTCCATCGTCTGTTTCTGACTTAAGCAACTTCACAAGACTTGATGAATACTTTTTTTCTTCAATCTGCTTAAAATACAAATCTTGTGCTGGTGATTTGGAAAATCAAGAACGTAATTTTCCCCCATTTTCATTAATTTCATATCTAGTTTTCACGGGAAATGAATATCCCAGTTTCCTCCCCCACTGGATTGTGACCGGTATATAAACAGTATTCAACAAAACATTGACGCAGAGGCCATCGAGAAGGATTTTGGTTATCGAGAAGGATCTTCCTGAAATAGCAGCACTCTGACTATTCGGATTTGGTACTAAACATACTTGTTTTTTGCAATTTTGTTCATTAAACTTCTTCATCCTCAAATTACTATTGCAGCCTCGTTCGCTTTCAACCTCACCCTCCTACTCAAGAAAGCTAGGGCCTTATTCTCACTCAACATTATCAAGTTTACCGGTTTAATTGCGTACTTCATTTCCGGGTTTCGAATCCTGAACATCGCATTGTTAAGATCAACTGCTATCTCGAAATTCCTGATGAAATCTCTGCCTAAAATGAAATGATCAGACTTATAGCGCTCCCCCAGATTTAGGGATATTATCGGTGTCTTGCCTAAAACCCGCAACGCCCTCTTATTTGCCGCTGACAGCCGTATTCATGTATCTACCAGGTCATCTTTGTCGAATTCCATTTTTTTCCATGTTTCAAATGGTATTAAACTCAAGACGGCCCCTGTGTTCAACAGTCCTCGTAGTGGGGTCTTCTTCCCACTTATGTCCAGTATATGTGCTGATACGTGTGCTTCACTTCCCAGATGCTTGCCATCTTCTTCCAGCATGGCGCAGTGCCCGATCGATCTATCTTTTAGTTCTTCTCGACCTAGAAAGATTTGATCGGCTAGATCTTCGTCACATGTTATTATAGTTTTTGTGTAGATCTGCTGTCTATCCTTATGAATTTACCAGCACCTCTCGTGAGTAATGAACTGAGTGCTCTAGAATGGGTTTGCGGGCTTATGGTGTCTAATCCGCATACACATCACTGAGCATTAATGTTTGGTCACTCGGTTCACTCAGGTTCCTCGTTAGTTCATGGCCGCCCAGCATGATTTTTGACATATCTCTCGCCCCAATCATCGTGATACCAAAAGGTTTCCCGGTCACCAGTTTCAAAGCCTTGCAATTACTCCTGCCTGTCAAGTTGTCTCCGGTCTCTGGTTCTGATCTCGTCATCGAGAGTATCTCATTCATCTTTTGCCGAGCCATAATTCGCACACGATTTTCGTTTGTCCATAACATCCCAAGGGTTGTACCATGTTGACTTTTGTTGTTGCCCCTCCTTGCATGTTTCTGCTCTCCGAAAAAGAGTATTTCTTCGGTTTCATTAACATATACTTTCTAGACTTCTGTCTAATCTCCTCCGGGGTTTGTGCATTATCTTTCGATAGCGTATAATACGTTGCCAGCATCGTTCTCAAGTCGTCACTTTTCGCCCCGTCGATAAACTTTGAAGTGAGGCTAAAGTTTCTCCTTCTAGTCAATTCCTCTGGATCACTTCTTCTTCTCAAGCTCTCGGGATCATTCAAAAATCGATCAATCGATTCGTCATCTCTTTGTCTTCTTTTTTAAAATCGCATCATCGCTTGTCGTCCCTTCATTCCTGATCCAGATCAATTCAACAGTATTTCAAAGAATTTTTTGTGCGGCGTCACGCTCCTTCTCCTTCTTGGCTACCACGCACTTTAGTGCTCTGCCCTCTAGATTGCTCAAAATTGCGGTGCAAGCCTGTTTCTCATCATTCATGTTGTCTTGCTCAAGTGTTAGTCTCATTTTCTCAACCCAGGTTTTTACGCAAGCACCTGAATCGTCTGTGAATTTCTTCGATTTCTTGAAGGTCTTTCTGGAGTCTGTATTCTTTGAGGCGAATGCATCAAGTGTCCTGTTCATCATTTCCCAGGTACTCGCCCATGTTATGGCATCAAGTGTTATACTCGTGTGTGCACTTGAATCTCCTGGTATCCTCATCAAATTTGAGGCTCTTCCTTTCATGGCAGTTTTGGTCATCCCTGATTCTATGCTATTGTCGATCCGGGGTAATTGTGTAGACTCATGTTTTTTGCGTTGCGGTTCCACAAAATCAACTTTTGTTCAAGGTTGCTTTTCAGTTCTATCTGCTATTGTTTTTTTCCTGGAATAGAATTCCTCAAAAGAGCATCCCATTTTGATTGTATGGCACAAAAACTTTCTGCTTGACCCCTGCTCATTGTGTCTGTTCTCGTCTCTAGATTACACAATTTGTCATTCATGGTCTCAGAACGTTTCTTCATTTTCTGCATGGTTTTTTTGAAACGTTTCTCTCGTTCCTGGTCGATCGTCTCGACCTTGCTCGCTATCTGTTGCAAGTTTTCCTCAATGGCTCTTGCTAAATTGAAATAGTTGTCAAGATTCTCATTCTTATTGTGTCAAAATTCTTTTTTCAATTCATGGCGGTCCTCTTCTCTGCACACCAGTTTTTTGTCTATCTGATCCTACTCTGACATCAAGTCCCCCAGCTTAACTAAAAGTGCTTCCGACACTATTGACCGCCTATCCCGGTTACCCGCTATTCTCTCTGTGACTTGCTCCTTCTACGGGTTTTTTCCATTGCTATCGTGGAAACCGTGCCAAAAGCTCTGATTTTTTCAGATACCGTTGTCACCTCCTCTTTTTCTTTGGGTCTCATCCCAACCATCGCTGCCAACTTCTCCGTGACCGACGTTCTCTTCGTTTGTGAGTCATCCTTCATCGTTTCCAGTATTTTGGTGGTAGTTTCGTCCCCATTGCCTATTTGCGAGAAGTATAATGTCTTTGTTACTGGCTCTTCTACATTATGCATAGGTATCGACTCCATTGTTTTCCGTTCCGTTCCATCTATGCTTTGATCTGGCGTCTCAAGATCAATTTCCTTGATTGTCACATTCGGTTTTTCCTTCAGTTTGTCATCGGTCTTCTGCTCCTTGTTGCTTCTTGTGTTAACCATTATCACTGAAAAAAATTTTCTCGTTACTCTCGGGTTTTTGCTGTTTATTTCCGCAGCGCTGAGGATTGGTTTTTCCTATTCCTTTCCTTTCCACTAGCGGCACTCTCGTTCTCTTCATCTTTTATATCTACAGTTTTTTTTCCAACTCTAATATTTACAAGTTCCTATTGTAAAATCTAATCAAAATATAAGAAAAACCCCTAAATTGTTCAAAAAACTGGTCAAAATCGTCGCACCAGAAATTTTGAAACCCTAAGTCAAGCGTTTGTATCCTTCGCTATAGTGTGGGGATCCTTCGCTAAAGTGTTGGGACCCTTCGAGACAGTGTTGGGACCTTTTGCTCAAGTGTTGGGAACTTTCAATAAAGTGCTAGGACCCTTTGATAATGTGTGGGAATTCTTCGTTAAAGTGTTGGGACCCTTTGCTCAAGTGCTGGTACCCTTCGCTAAAGTAGTGGGACCCTTCGCTCAAGTGTAGGGACCTTTCAATTATATCTTGGGACCCTTCGCTAAAGTGTTGGGACCCTTCGCCAAAGTGTTTGGACCCTTCGGTAAGTGTTATGACCCTTCGCTAAAGTGTTGGGACCCTTCGCCAAAGTGTTGGGACCCTTCGTCAAAGTCTTGAAACCCTTCGCTCAAGTGTTGGGACCCTACTCTGAAGTGTTGGAACCCTTCGCCAAAGTATTGGGACCCTTCGGTAAAGTGTTCGGACCCTTCGCTAAAGTGTTGGGACCCTTCGCTCAAGTGTTAGGACCCTTCGCTAAAGTGTTGGAACCCTACGCCAAAGCATTGGGGCCCTTAGGTAAAGTGATGGGACCCTTCGCCAAAGTGTTGGGATCCGTCAGTAAAGTGTTAGGACTCTTCAACGAAGTGTTGGGACCTTTCGGTAAAGTGTTGCGACCCTTCGCTCAAGTGTTCCGATCCTTCGATAAAGTGTTGGTATCCTTCGACAAAGTGCTGGGACCCGTCGGTAAAGTGTTGGGAGCCTTCGCCAAAGTAATGGGACCCTTCGGCAAAGTGTTGGGACCCTTCGCGCAAGTGTTGGGACCCTTTGATACAGTGTTGAAACCCTTCGGTAAAGTGTTGAAACCCTTCGGTAAAGTGTTGGGACCCTTAGATCTCTAACCCAGGACTCAAGTGTTGGGACCCTTAGATCACGATTCCAGACTTTCGTATCTTCCTCCACTGCCGTAGCTCAAGTGTCTGGGCACTTTATCTACTATCCCAGTACCACCTCCGGAATTCGTATTGAATTTTGCAGTACTTAACTCGGGTGTTGGGCTGATCAATCCTCTATCCCAGTACCACCTTTAGAGCTTGTGTAAAAATTTCACCAAAACCCAATTCTGTCAACCAAATTCTATTGAGTTTCGGTGAAATTCCCTTTCCTAGTTAAACACATTGCAAGTCGAAATACAACTTGTTTTAAAAAGTTTTTATGGTTGCCGATGCACCAATACTGCCTGAAATAACGAAAACCGGAAACAAAAAAAAACAGCTAAAAAAATTAAAAACAGGAAAAAATAAAAGTACTCAAAATGCAAAAGCAACAAAAGCCGTTTTTTGAGAAGAAATAAATTTGTCTGGTACCTGACTGTCACAGGTTTTTCCTCCCCTACTAACCTTCTCATGGGGTTCTCAAACGTCTATTTCCGATCCCCCACCCGATCCGGCAAGGTTACCTACCTTAATTCGAGTTTTTTTATCGGGTAGCTTCGCGTTGCAAATCTTGTTCTGGGTCTGTAACCAGATTGTTCTAGACTCTAGTCAATCTATGGTAACTATATCGACAATATCGATTGTATAGTTACTGCAAGGAAGCCCCCCTTTTTTAAAAAATTTCCAACCACCAACCTCTATCTTAACCAGCCCCCCTTCTAGCCTCCCCCCTATCTAGCCCACCACTCAAGCAGAAAAATACCCTAAGCGCAATTGGTGCTAAGGCTCTCGAGAGAAATTCCGATGAACCTGCTTCCAAGCTCTGCTCAAGCAAGAAAATTTCCTCAAAACAGTGGTGACTCGCATATTCATTTTTACACTTATCTCGTAAATTATAAAGTAGATTTTAACGATACCCGTTTGACCAAACAGAACCACTTTGTGATCCCTTCGCACTTTCTTCTGTACTGCTCTGGTCACGCTGCTGGTAGTCTCTTCCCAGTCACGTGTCTCCTGCTCCCCGTCCTGAGAATCAGTTGGCCGCTTGCCTGGTCACCTGTCCCAATCAAGTCTCCTATTAGTCCACTGAGGTCGCAAGGCTATCTGAAAACCATTCGAAGCCCCGAACTCGGGCACCTGTTTAACGTTCCTGATTTGGTCAAATCGATCGGTCTTATTTGAAATCAGTATGGGTATACTGAGTTAATTATTATAAAAAATTGATCCACCTAATCTGGAAATCAAAGCCACTGTCCTTTTTAAATTTTTATCGTTTTTGTTCCTATTTCTAATCTTTTTCGTTTTTTGTTTCGCTCTTTGTCTTTTACCCGTTTTTTGTCCCTCTAGTGGTCGCTCTTACTCGGTTAGTTAGGCCTCGTTTTCGAAAGCACACTGGGAATTTTTCTCGATTTTTTATAAAAAGCTATCACAGTTCAAACAGAAGGTGAACACGTTCCCGTTAAACAGCACCACCGGTACTCTAGAATGGGCATGTAGCCCGGAGCTGCGTCAAATGGTTTCAATCCCGCAGTCTTGATGCCATGAAAACACTATGTAATAGTCGTCTACTTAAATCACATATGAGGCTAAGAGAAATAGGCACTATAACCATTGGCTCAAGAGTCAGGGATACTATCTCTTGTGTTTGTGTACCTCATGCGGTCGGAACCTTAATTATACCGTTAGTTTTCATTGGACACTCGACCTTCGATCCATTTCAGATGGATCAATCTAAAAACTCTCCTTAACTCAACATAACCACATAAAACACAGTCATGAAATTTAAATTGGGTACTCACTTACCGTCACGACCTCTAAAAATGAATAACTAAATTGTGGAGCAACTCTAGAACTGATTTAAGGCAAGTAAGGTTAACTCAAGTAGTTTTGAATATACAAGTTTGAAATCAAGAGTAAGTTTTCATCTGAACCATTGGGCAGCTTCAGCTGTCCACCTTTCCACTCAAGGGTCAATCTGGTCCAATTGATTGTCTTCTCGATCCATCTTTCGTAACTCTTGATTCTCTATCGGGAACAAGATAACTCTACTCGTGCTGGATTATTATGGTAAAACTGCAGATAGCAATTTAACAAACTTCCAAATATGACCATCTGGCACATTTTTGTGCAATTTCCACCGATGCATTGCCAGCAAAGTCATCAACAGTTCAAGAATTTCATTCCACAGGATGCAATTGAGGAGATGCTTCAACGGTGCGTACCCACGGAGCTGCATTCCGGGATAGCCCAAAAAACTAATTAGCTCCCATTTTATTTAAATTAAATCCTTAACCTCTCAATAAATTGAGACAAGTTTTAATTGGACAAAAAATGCCTCAAAACTTTGCAGCCTGTTAGTTAAAAAAATTCCAAGAAATTTTAAGAGATTTGGTTGGCTAATTTTTTTTACTCTCATTGAATTAATTAACAACAAAAGTCCGACCTCGAAAGGGATCCGACCCCCTCGCCAACCAAAGGTTCTCTCTTTGGTATGTTTTATGATATCCATTTTTGGCCGACAAACCATAAAATTTTTCAATAAATGCAAATTTTGAAGGGGAGCGCGCTCTAAAAAACGCAATTTTGGTCAAAATTAAAAAAAAATCTTTGCCAGGAGGGGGGGGGGCGTGGTGGGTCAAACGTGTGTGTGATGGGACTAAACGTGTGTGTGTGTGTGGGGTGGTACAGAAAGAGTACCCTAAGTAAGAAAACAATGTTTTCAAGTAAGTTTGCATGATCTCTTTAACTATTCCTCTTAAGGTACCTAGTAACGAGTCTCGCCCCTTCCACCGTTTTAAAAAATGGGTAAGGGGGGTAATTGTTGAGTCGATCCAAAAGTTCGCCTATCCCGAATAGGCGGGAGGGGGTGGGGCGTACCTAGATGTGCATGGACAACCTAGATGTGCACGGAAAAGCTTTCAGGTACAATGTGAAGCCTTCCAAGTGTCATTTCATAGGAAAGGAAAACTGTCGTGAAAGAGCCATAAAAGTATTCGACGGAACAAATATTACAATGGTAGACGGTTTTAGAATCCTTGGATCGGTCATAGGAACACCATCAGCATGCGATAAGTACATCGAAAGCAAAATTGAAAAGACAGCTACTCTAACTGAACAGTTTTCCAAAATAGCTAAAACATCACCACAAAATGAGTACACAAAGGCAGTTCAAAATAAATTAAGCTTTCTAACCAGAAAAACTCCCGAAACTTTTAAGAAAATGGTTGAAATTGAGAAAAAAGTAAGGCAGCAGCTACTTCCTAGTGTTACTGGTAAAAACCATATAACCGATGAAGATCGCAACCACTAAGAATGGGAGGATTAGACCTCCTCAGTAACACGGACTTTTCCAAAAACTATGACTTTTACAAAAACTACAGAGCCATTTGTGATCAGTTACAAAACAGTGATACAGAAATAGCTGAAACGGAACAAAGTCTGATAAATAGAAACATGAAAACTGAGAAACAGAACATCACACTCTCAAAAAACGGCTAAAATTATGGAAATTGCTCATCAGAGAAAAAACTGACAATAAAAATAGCGTCACAGAAAGGAGCATTGAACTGGCTAAGCGTGCTCCCCCTAAAAAATACTAATTCTCCCTCAACAAATCAGAGTTTAAAGATGGATTACATCTGAGATATGATGGGAACTACTAAACACCCCACATGCATGCCCGTGTGGACAACCGTTCACACTAACCCACTCCCTAAACTGTCGCAAAGTTGGATACACTCACCTAAGATATAATAAAATTCGCGATACCTTTGCGATACTCCTGGACGAAGTATGCCATGATTTGAAATAGAGCCGAAACTTCAATCGTTGGAAGGCGAAAGCTTTCACAACAAAAGAACCACTACTGAAGATGACGCTCGACTTGACATCAAGGCATATGGACTCTGGGGAGGCCGATTCAGCCGAACCTTTTTCGGTGTAAAAATTTTCAACCCCCATGCTAAATCCTGCCCTAAAACTATATCTGACGCCTTTAAATATCATGAGAGTGTCAAAACATTAAAATACCAACAAAGAATTCTGTCTGTTGAACACAGCAGCTTTGTTACACTAATTTTTGCGTGTACCGGAGGAGCAGCACCGGGCTCTACAAAAACCGTCCAGAATCTAGCAGAGAAACTAAGCGAAAAACGGAACGAATCATACTCGGACACAATTAACTATATAAGTACAAAAATAAGTTTTGTGCGTCTGAGGAGTGCAATCCTCTGCTTTAGGGGGTGCAAAAAAAACTTAAAAATACATCCAACATAGACAATTCTATCTGTGCTGTAATCGAGGAGGGTAGACTTGACAATTCTCTTGATGCATTAAAATAGACTTGATTTATTCATAAAATTTTGTCGATGTATTTATATAGCTTGAGAATGCGTTAAAATTGTAAATTCAAACAAACGTTTTCGCACATTTTGTGCATGTTCAGGTTTTAAAAATTCTAAACTATCTGTACAAAATGATCAAAGATCATAAAAAGTGTCACACACATCATTACTTCAAAATTTTAAAAATTCATATAGCGGTTGTATGGCCCTATCCAACCTGTGCACGTACCGTCGCATGACGGAAGGGCCCATCCGGGAAAGAATTTATTTTTCGGCTATCCGGGAACGAATTTTTTTTCGGCTATCCGGAAAAAATTTGTTTTTCGGCTATCCCGGAACGAATCTATTTTTCGGGTATTCGGCTCCGTGACATGCCGCCGCTTCAACGTTCACTACCCTAACTTCATCACGTTGATCTTCAAATGCAGACATGGAATGTTTACTCCTGACTAAATTTACCCAGCCGCTCCCTGCTCTGGTTTTTATCTAATGTCCTTTAGAACTATGTCTTTGAAGGCTTCATTAAAACACTGAGAAAAGTATAAGTATGAAGCTATTGCCTTGCTTGAGACCCATATTTATCTCGAATTTTGCTCCGTACTTTGATACCCGTTTGATTTGTAGGTATATGTTAGTCAAGAACAATTTCTCTTGACTTCGCAAAAACTTTATTCTTTGCTAATTGTTTCGATTGATTTGTTTTATCCGCTTAGTGACCAATTTTTGAGTCGTTTTAAGGGAAACCGACCCAGCACAAAGTGCTAAAGTCTTAGAATAGACACTATACTTCAAAGTTTCACATGACAAGTGGTGTGCCCCAAGGATCAAATCATGCTCATCAATGACCTTCCTGAATTATACAAGAATTCTTGCTATGTGAACGAAAGCCACAAAGATCTTGTTCTTGCGACCGATATTCTGCCCATTTCCTTACAGTTACAGTTACAAGATCTTCTGCTACTGGACAAATGTATTAATAGCGCGTACGATTTCGATGGTAGCGATTATGTGAATTTGAAAGACCCAGGGCGTGATTTGAGATCAGATAATGATATCGTCTTCAAACACAAGAAACCACGATTATTCAAATGCGGGCAGAATTTTTCAGAGCATTCAGCGTTAAATTCAGAGACAGATTAGGGCTGAAATAACGAAGTCTTGTCTTTCTATGGAGAAACTTACGAACTTATCTCCAGTGCTTGGAGAATTTGAACAGCAAACTTAATCTTGTTGAAGGGAATATTCTCGGGCCCATAGGGCCGAATCCATAATACATTCATACAGATATTATGTCACTATCCTTTTTTTCCTTTCTGCCAGCTTGCAATGCTAAATTTGTGGCTGTAATCGGTGTCCACTATTGCAGCCGAAGCCTATGGGGCTGTGGTTGACCTGAAGCTAGAGGTCAAGTGAGAGCTTTCATTTGGATGGCAGGGGCTCGAATACACGATCTCGAATGGTATATTTGTGGTATTGCAAGTGGTAGGAAAACTGTGGCTCTCTTTGGAAAACTTTATCAAGCAGGTTCCTCGAGCTTTAGCTGAGCCCCTATCGTTTAACTTTTGTGAAGCGTCGTTGGCGCATATGCATAGGGCGTGTTACGTTGAGCCCTGAGGTCGGGAGTTTAAATCTGGTACATATCAGAATTTTACTTCTTTTTTATCCATTTTTAGACCCTTATAGAGATACTGTATTCGCTTGTGTTTGGAAAGTGCAGCTTTCCCTCTGTGTATTTAAAAATAATTTTTTCTATGCCAAAACTCCTCGGGTTTTCGCAAAATGATTTTTAAAATAACTAAGTATAATTTTAAAAACATTAACGTGAACCTTCCTAGTTGCCTAAAGTATTTTAAAAAGAAGATTCTCGCGATCGTGAGAAGCATTCGTTCTCCCGCTTTTTCTCTGTCCTTCGACTATGTGTAAATTATCTTTCCATACGAAATTTTGTAGTGGTAAAATTTTGTTTTGATTTGTTTTTTTTTGCAATTTTCTCATTTTCTGCTCGTGATTCGGTTTTTCTCCTTTTCATTTGTTGGTTCAAAATTAAAATATTTTCTGAGAAAAGGCAACTTGACATATCTGGACAATTTGGAGATATGAAAAAAAAAACATTTCAATACAATATAACCTAATCATCTTCAATTTTTTGCTCAATTTCGGTTTACAAAATCTGTAATTTTGTGAGAACAAGACCATTTCACGCAGAATGACACACCAGGGCTTTGTTGCCTTATCATGAATTTTTTTCCAACTTTTTTTGTTAATCAGTGAAGAAGCAAATTCAATTTTAAAATGTTATCTAGATATAATTTTAATGATACCTGAGATTTAAGAATGACAACCTTAAAACATGAGGACATCTAAGCAAGAGCCGCATTGTCAGGCACGGGTGGTTTGCAATCATCTGTTAAGTTTTACTGACATGCGGTTCCACATAACTTGCGTTTATGAAATCGAGTCTTATTTGTTGCTCAATGAACTTATTTTTCATAAAGCCATAAAGTGACTTCATGAATTTTGTCAATCCCAGACATACAACTAAGCCAAAAAAATTCAACAGTTCCCGAATAATAATCGCGGCTTCTGCGTTTCGCAGAGTATATAAGAACGGCTATCAGGCCTCTCTAAACATAGTTTTTTTGGTATAAATTTCCCAACATTTCAGACGGAGTTATTTTATTGAGTGAAGCTCATTTTTGCGACTAGTTTTTGCTGGTTTTTGCTTCCAGACTGGTTTTTGCTTCCAGAACGTTCACGTGGTGCCACTATTGCAGCCGGAGCCTGTGAGGCTGTGGTTGACCTGAAGCTAGAGGTCAAGAGAGAGCTTTTTCTCACACACTTTCATTTCGATGACAGGGGCTCGAATACACGATCTTGCTGTCTTAAAGTGAAAGCAGTACCACTGCGCTGTATGTCTATTTGTTTTCTAGGAAATTTTTAACCTCGAAAAATTCGCAGGTAATTTTTTTTGCTTTTGACTGTTTGACAATGGTTAATGAAAGTTGATATTTTTCAGTTCATTTCTGCGAATGTAGCGTTTAATCTTAAACTTTCTGACGCTTCATGAGATAATTCAAAAAAATGTAATTTTTTTGCTGTTTATTTCTTCTGTTACAGCAGTATGCGCAGTGAACGCTTTTTGTTGATGTGACGCACGTTCAAAATTTGAAGATTGTTGGTATAGTGGTCTTTCAACCATGCGGCGAGGTTTGCATTGCAACTGCCGATACCTGTAGTTTTTTATTCATTTTGGCTTTGTCTTCAGTTGTGCGCCGATCTATTTGACTGAACTATTATAAAAACGACAATAAGCTGTTTAAAATCATATCAGTTTTTAAATCTGGTTATTAAAGCATGAACTTTCACCATTGTTTTTGATTATTCATGGTTTTACTCACAGACTTTTTTTTCAGAAATTGATGTATATATGTATTATTGTGCGTACTGGAACCACAGTTTAAAAACAATGGCTTTAACAGATGATTATCAGTGATTTTCATTCAAAAACAGTGTTTTACAGAACTTACTCTCCTAGCAATTTTACAATGTACGTTACGTAAAGGTATCAATACTTCATTATGGAATCGTCAGAGGTAGAGCATTCTCTCATAGTGTCCAGACTTAGCGAACGGACGTCCAGTTCTAGAATCGAAGGTCTGGAATTACTGCGTGAACATCTAAAACGCAACAATGGCATCCTCAAATTCAAGGACAAAGAGTCCGTTTTCAAAGGACTTTCGTTAAGTTTGGAAGATACGAGTTGGAAGATTAGACATTTGACAATTGAGTTGCTACGAGATATGATTTCGAAGTTTGGCGATGAGTTAGATGACTTATACGCTCCTATGTTACCACAATTAATTGAAAACATTGGAGATAATAAGGTAAGATTCTCGTTCCTGTACTTGTTTTTCGACTTCTAGTTTTAGAAGTGGATTTAATTATCAGATTTTCCAGCAGAATTAAAAGTTTACTTATTTATCCAGCGTTCTCGAATTATGTTTTTTTTTAAAATAAAAAAGTGTCGGTCATAAGTTTTTTCAGAAACTCAAAGAGCTATAGATCCATCTATTTTTAGCTTCGAAGTTCGAAAGTTTTCAAAAAACAAGTCAGTTTTTTTTATTTTTTCCATGCGTTTATGGCTCTTTTCCAACTGTCTGTTGGCTCTGTTCGGAAGGTGTAAAGGTTTCTCAATTTTTGTCAGCCATGAATGAATTACGGGTAAATATATATTTTTAAAAATTTAAACACCAGTTCTCTTATTCCATAAATATTTACTATTGTGCAGCGATCTGGTGGATTTGTTTACACCAGCAAGTGTAGAGTTATATTACGAATCAATTTTTTCTAACCCAACTCGCAAGTAAAAGTGCTCAATTAATGGCCATTTTGCTGCATAGCATTTTAAGAGCTCAGGCTTTTTATGCTTTATTGATGGCTAATATTTGATGCTTTTCGGGACCAAGCAAAAATTCAATATATAAGACTTTTTACTCTTTCTTTTCACCTTTTTAGAGCAAGTTTTTGTTCGGTTTTCTTGCTTGTGTAAAAATTTGGAATGAAAAATGAATTTGGAAAGTACGGTTTGAAACACAAAAGTATTATTGGCTAGTACCTGAAAAAAGTAACGGTTGTGTTATAAGACCAGTCCTAACCGAAGTATACGGGATTTTTTTACCGAGCAAAATTACAAATTTTTATGTTCCTCATCATTTTTTGGGGGATTCAATTTTTATCCTTTTTTCGGAATACACTTTTTTTGGTTCAACAATTTGTTTAACAATCTTTTGAATAACTTGTTATCTTGGGTCATAATGAATTCAAATTTCTAAGCGTCTCTGGGGAACTTAGTCTGGAGGTAAAGAATGCGACTGGACAGCGAAGGTCCTGGAATCGAATCTTAGCAGGACCTTTTTTTTTCAATTGGGAAATATTCCGTTTCAAAAAATTGTCGGCTAATTATTTGTCTGCTTATGTATTGTTGACTTAGGTGTCACATCTTAGAATTTTGCTTTATGCAGTTATCATTGTAGTTGTTTTTTTTTGTTTTTTTTTTGCCCTTGCAATTTGTAATTCTAGTAACTTTGACATCGTATGTTTTCCATTTTTAATTTTTTTTTACTTCTAAAACTTTTCGGCCGGAATTTTTTCGGCTAACTTTTTATCGGCTTGCTTACCTAATTTTGGGTTGTTCGAGGGAGCCATAGTTTGTATGCTTTCCTCCGGATAGCTCAAAATCTAAATAGAATTTGAAGTTCAAAGTTTTTCATGGCAACAAATTTTGTCGCTCGAATGTTTGTGAATTTTCAATTAACGCCGTCGAATATGTTTCTGGACATGTTTTCCGCAGTTAGGACATCATTCCAGAAAATAGATTAAAGTTTTGTAGCTGTGATTTCTCCGTAAAATTTTCTGTGTTCTCTGAACTTAATGGCTTTCCTTTCATGTCTGCTAGTTTGAAATGCTAATTTTGTGGTATCGCTTCGCCTGTGTCTTTACTATTAAACCTTAATATATTTTAGTTTCCTTCCCAATTGGCCTAGGAGTAATGCAATCGCCTTTGCACTATAAGGTTTGGGGTTGGCGTCTCGGCCGGACCTTGTGTTTTTTCAGTTTGCATGCAATTGAAAAAAATGTTCGGTAAAAATTGAATTGTCGGACTTTCATTTGTCTGCTCAAGTTTTTTTTTCACGGATTTTGCTAGTGCTGTAAAGCTATTTTCATTGCAAGTGCAAGTGTTGTTCATTCTAGTATCAGGGGTTCGTTCTAGTATCAGAAATTGAAATATTTTTTTTTCTCGTAAAATCACTTTTTTCACCTCACCTGGTGTCTGCTCAAAGACTGTCGGCTTAGTTGCTATATCATTGATTTTTCTTGTCTGTAAGCAACTGTCATTTAAATTGCAAGTGTAAGTGTTGTTCATTGTAGTTTCAAGTGGTACTTAAAACTTAAAGATTTTTGATATTATCATACTTTTTCGTATCAACTTGTCTGCTCAAAGACTGTCGACTTTGTTGACTCTTTGAAACTTTTTTCCGTTGCTAATTCAATGTTCAAATTTTTGGGATTTCTGCCTGGAATGAATTACTGTCGAAACAGAGGGGAGCAGTGGTGAAGTGGTTACGTCTCCGCCTCTCAATCGAAAGGTCGGATGTTCGAGGCCCACCATGATCCGTGCTCGTTGCTTGAGGGTGAGGCAACATTACCCAGCCCAGAAAAATAACCAAAAAAATAGCATGTAGTTCTTAAGGAGGGGCACAACAGCGGTTCGCCGTGATGGGCTGTACAGCTCGTATGTTGGTCCTATCCCTCGTGGATAAATGATCTTAAATATAAAAATTTTTTCGATTTTTTTTGTTAACTTAATTTCGACTTGTATTTTTATGTACTTGTTGCATTCGCCTCTGTATTATCGAATGTGTTTTTTTTGTAGGTTGAAATCCGCAAAGACGTTGTGCAGACACTGCACACCTACATGAAGAATTCGCTCAATGTTGGATTCCTACTTCAACTGTACCTCGAATTCGGACTGCAAAGCGAAGACGACAAAGTACAGAAGGTGATCGAATGATATTTGAATTTGAATTCCATCTCCATCTAAATTATTTGTAATCAAACGGACACCTTTTTTCTGTTGTGATCTATTTTTGGGAGTAGATGTTTTTTTTTGGGGGGGGGGGGGTGGTGAAGTGGCTTTACCGGTCAGTTTTATAGCTGAGCAGTTCGCATTTGGGTGGTTTGGATTCGCGAATAAATGGTCTTAAAAAAATTGATAAAAATACTTTTCCATTGCAACAGCTGTACAGTGGTTTGTATCACGTGATGGTTTGGCGCCCTCAAATGGTAATATTCAAAAAAAACTAATTAAGTTTTAAGTTTGCTGGTCACTTGAAAACCGATTGCGTTTACGCAGTCGAAAACGCAGTGTTTATAGTTGTTTTTCTCATATTACCATATACTTCCTCCAATAGGAATCCATCATCAATCTGCCTGTGCTGATGTCGGCCGAGTTCAGCAACGAGGACCTGTTCGAGATTTCACAGACGCTGCTGGGTAAGATCCCCTCCTACGAGGAGCCCAGGTCCATCTGGAGGTGCATAGACAGACTGAAGAATCTTGTCGGTAAGTCACTAAGCAGGTTAATCGCATGTTTAAATATAAAAGACCTTATTGACGAAAAATTATTCACAAAATAGCGTTTAGTACGGAGGCATTTACAGCTGTTATTTACACTAAATTGGTTGTCAGATTTTTGCATCAAGTTGGTATGATCAAGTCAATTACAGTTGAATACGGGTTTATTTAAATGCGAAACTTCAGTTGGCAGCTTGAATTGCGTCTATTTATTTGATTAATTATATTAAGGCGAAGACAGGTTCGACAGTTACGTGTCCCACATGAACCGAGACATCCAAACAATTTACAACCAGAAACTATACGCAACTCCGGGATCCACGGCCTCTCAGAACACCCCGACTGATACCCCTGCTGTACAGACCCCCCACTCCACCCTGACTGCAAGGGAGTTGGCCGCCAAGTTGACGGCTGCGAGTAAAAGTGACGCGATGGAAGGGCAGTTGTTTGGATCAGGGAAGAATTCAGGTATTTCATAAGAACTCATTTCATTGCAGTTCGTCTTTTTAGCTGTTGTAATTTAACCGTTGATTTTTGCGCTGTGGCTTCTTTAATGCGTTTTTAAGTGTTAGTTGTCTAATTTTGTGTATAAAGTTGAATTATTTATTGAGCTTACAAAATAATTATTGGCTGGATTGTTTGTTTTTTGGATTGCTGGAGTGATCATTTTTTCTGAAACTTATCTTTACTGAATGGAAAAATGGTCAAATTTTTTCTGAAACTTATCTTTACTGAATGGAAAAATGTTGTCGAATTGGAGTGAAATCAATCAAATGTAAACCAAAATTTAGGTCGCTGGCTCGAGTTCGGAATCGTGAAACCAGATGTCATGATCAAGTTAACAAACAGAGATGACTGGCAATTACGGTTACACGGAATTGAAGACCTAAAAACTGACGTCACACAACTGAACGACATTTCCAAATTAAAGCCAGACATGGTCGAATTCGTCGGATTTCTCTCTAGATTTCTAACTGATGAAGTTAACTTCAAAATTACAATGTCGACGCTAGAAATATTTGTAGTTCTAATTAAGAAACTGGGAACTAATTCACACGAATATGTCGAGCCCTTAGCAGCAGCGTTGTCGCATCGATTGGGCGACTCCAAAATTGTAATTCGCCAGCTAAATTCAAGAGCGTTCCGTGAACTAATGTACACGGCGACTCCGATGCCTGTTTTGGAACAGATTTTACCCTGTTTGAAGCATAGAAATTCGCGAGTGAGAGAAGAAACAGTGAATGTTATCATATCGGCGTTGTTGACATTTCCGACAACTGATTTTGATTTCACGACGCTTTGTGATACGATAGCACCGTGTTTGGCAGACCCGAAGCGAAGAGTTCGCCAGGTAATGATGAATTTATAGAATTTTGTAATGTAGCTATAAAGAGGTTAATAGAATTTAAAAAAATATTACACTAAACCCAATTTAAAACATTTGAAATTCTCCGAAGATGACTTTCTTGAGCTTTGAATCATTAATTGTTTTTTTTTCTTAGCGTTTTTTTTTTGCTTTAAGTTTCAAAAAAAAAAATTGAGGTAACTTTTGGGATTTTACTCAATCATCTCCTTTTCAACTATCAATGATTACTATTTAAGTGAAATTACTAATTAACACAAAGAAGTTGTATCGCATATTTTTTTAATCTCCAGGCGTCGCTAGAAGTATTTGCGGTTCTGGCTCAACTGATGGGTGTGAATAACCTGAAGCCTCTGATCCGAGCCATCGAGATGCTAGAACCCGAGTTCGGAGAGGGCCCTATGAATGCAATCAAAGCTAGAGTAGCAAGGTAAGTTAACTTTAGGTAAAGTGACTAGTTCTCGGCTTGGAAAATCTGAGGTTGCTGGTTCAAATTACTTGATTTTTACAATTTTTTAAATTGTTAGACCATGTCTATTTTTAAGGTTTTGATCAATGAAACTTTTAAAAAATAAATTGCGCTTAAAGGCACATCTTTGATCTGCGGCCTTGTATTATTTATCAGGAGGTGGCATACAACTTGTCAGTTCAATTAGCTGAGCTCTATTAAATACTTATTCGTCTTGTCTGTAGGTGGAGTGTTTTTGAATGGTAAATTCTACATTTACTGAACCGTACTTTGTTTGTTTGTTATGGTCTCAATTTTGGTGATTTTCATGCAGATTCGAATTACTTGGTGGTTTTAAAATTGTTTTTTTTCGTGGCTTTAAAAATCTAAACAATGAACATTTTTTGCTTAAATTGCGAAATGATTATCTAAAAATGTATTGACTGGAATTAATTGGCCTGACAAGACAATAATCTAAAACAGAAAATCAGATGTTTATTTCTGCAATTATAGACAACAATTTCCTCGCGTATAAAATATATAGTTTTATGGGCGTTTGCTACTATCAAATGGTGGATTTAAATAGATTTTATTCATGGATTTTATGAGCGTATTTTTCTTCACGGTCATCTGTTTTAATTTTTGAAGGAAAGTAAATTCGAATAGCTTCTTAAAGTATTCTGATGGCAGGTTTTTTTAGAAGATTGCCTTTGACTCATTCTAAATAATCTTTTCAGAAAGCCTCTCATCAAAATAATTTATGAAGCTATTCGAATTTCCTTTCCTTCAAAATTCAGATGGCTTTCACTGTTTCTGAATATTCTTGTCCAAATGCAAAAGAGGAATGCATTGGTGCGAAACTCAATCAAGTTTAAGTATCCGATGATTTTATATCTGCTTGACATGCTTCTGAATCGCCTGAAAAAAAAACAGCTTTCTTCTAAGTTGTTGTAACACCCGTGATTGACCAAAGACCCCGGGAGCCGGCAATTCGACTCCTCTCAGGACTTTTTTTTGCAAACGGAAAATCTTCGGCGAATTTAGTTTTTTGTCTGTCTGCTTATTTTTGCCGGCTTAGCTACCGCAGAAAGGACTTTCTTTAAATGATCGGCTTCTTTCTAATTGATCAGCATTCCGAAAGCTCCATGTTAGTTTTTGATGGTGCATGTACATGCGATTTTTAAGACCAATGGTTTTTTGAATGTTTTTCCCTGTAACTTTTTAAATATTTTTCTTTTCGTTTAATTTTAATTACGGTCAGTCATTTTTGTATCGTGAGTTGTGCGGAGCTCAGCTTCGCCTCTGTGTTAGAGTGTTTTTCGAAAGTTTTCACTATTAGGATCAATAGATATTCCTATTTAGCCATATATATGTGATACTTTATTTTCGGGGTATATTGATTGATGTTTTGGAAAACGCAAAATCAATGTGATTTATTGAACTAATGTGGCAGTACTCATAGGTTCTGCCGGGGTTCGATCTCTTGTGTAGTCTCTAGATTTCGTTTGTTTGCTTAGACGCCAACTACCGATGATCAAAGAGAACGGCATGGTAGATTACGCAACTTCTATCGTCACATCATCCGCAGCATCCTCGGCGGGCAAGAGTCGCCAGTCCTCGAACAGGGGATCTCCCCAATCATCGGCAGCAAATGCAGTGCCTCAGAGTGCGGGATCATCAGCATCTACTTCCTCGCAGTACGGAGCGGATATAGACTGGATCCTAAGAGCGTCTGGGTCTTCGAGAGGAGGAAATTTGCCAGGTTGGTTTGGGTCCGGGTCAAGATTTTGGATGAGGTAAAATGTTGGTCAAAAGCTAGAGAAATTTAGTTAACGATTGTTTATTTTTTTGGCTCTTTTGACCCAGTTACTTGTCCTAACCAAAGATCTTTTTTTCCTTGTGGTTTGTTTTAATGGTTTATATATGATGACATATCTGTAAGTACTTGGATAAATAAAATTTGTGTTACGTAAGTTAATGGTGAAATGCTGACCCATAATTTCGGAGTTTTGATTATTACACTTGCCAAATCAAGTGTCTTATAATCGGGAACTAGACTTTTTCCTGTAAACAACCTTTCTTACAAGAAATTGAGCTTGCTTTACTATTGAACCTTAACAACTTCCAGATTGTTTCCCACTTCGCCTGGAAGTAACGCGGTCGCTTTGAATCCTTAAGCCTGGGGATTGAGTCCCGGCAGGACATTTTTTTCAGTCTATGAAATTGAAATTTTTTGTAGAACTCGTTTGTCTGCTCAAGTTTTGTCCGCTTAGGTTTCCCATCATGGATTTTGCTTGTGATGTTAGTTTTCTGGTGGTTGCAAGTATTGTGCATTGTAGTTTTTGAGGAATTGAAACTTTTTAAAGTTTTTATGAAACCATTTTTTTTCCGGCTCAACTGGGTTTTGCTCATAGTTAAGGCTTTGTTTCCGCTTCGTACGTTTTGTCCCGTTGCTAATTTAAAATACGTTTTGTCCCGATGCAATAGTCATGCTTGGCATAATTTTCTACACTTCCTGTATGATAAAAACAGGTATAATAAAATTGAATGGAATTGGGTTATTTGTTTCTTTATTGTTTTGAGACGCTTTGAAAATTTTTTTCACTTTTTGCAAAAATTGTTTCGCTTGAAAACTACTTTGCCCATTTTGAAAAAAAAACGGTTATCCTTGGAAAGACTGCCTTCTCTCCTTTGTTTGAAATTTTGAGTCTAATGTATAGAACCGAAGCTCTCCTGTGTGAGCGGATATCCCTAATTTTTTATACAAAGAGTAATGGCCCACGGAAAAGTCAGTTTTCGTTTTTTGAAACTTTTTGGCTTTTCTCAAGAACTGCTCTCCAAAATCTGAGATTTCGGTTAAATAGAAATAGTTATGAAAGTTATGGCTCTCGGAAACGTTTCTTTTTTTTTCGTTTTTTGAAACTATTTGATCTTTCTATTTGACCCTCCAAAATTCGAGATGCCCATTTTTTTCAGCTGAAAAATCTATGATTCTCGGAAGAAGGCAACTTTTTTGATTTAATGAGTTTTTAGAAAATCTTCCAGTTTTCACGAAAACTAACTATCCTGCCAAATCTGATATGAAGGAGGATTTAATCGAAACAACATGTTTTTAAAATCCTATCTGCATAAGCGGCCACTTCCATTTTCTTTTAGGAAAATGTTATGGGCTTCAAAAATGACTTTTCTTAAAAGTTAACCTATCAAATCTGAGCTGACGCGTTTTATCGAAAGAATCGATTGCGACAATTTTCCCTGCAGAAGCGGCAATACGTTAGTTTTTTATTTAAAAAATGTCCTTGGGAAAATTCTGAACTTATTTTAGTACAGAAACAACTAAGGTTTTGGGTAGTTTTTTTTTGAAATTAATCATTTCCTCCCGCATCAATATAAATTCAAGATATCAAACAGGTACCTCTCAGTTGGGCCCCTAGTTTTCTTTTATCGAGAGATGTGGCAATTTTAGGTCGTCTGAATTTTTCAACGTTATCATTTTTTCCGACCTATGTTTTTCTATGTTTGTGTTGTATCGCAAGTGGTGCGAAGCTTAGCTTCGCCTCTTTATTTAATAAGATATGTCCTTTTACTTCAATAAGATATTTGACCAGCAAAATTTTACTTCATAAAAGTTTTAAAATAACCTGTCTGATTTTGAATTATGATAAATGATTTAACCGGTCATTTGTGGCTTTTAGCTGACGTAGTTGAAACTTCAGTGGAGCTCAAAGTTTATGATTTTAGGAGGGAAATGGCGTTTACTGAAGATGGCAATTTTATTAACCTGTTTGAAAACATTTTCAACCTCTAGCAATTATATTTTACCTTGATTACACTTGTAAATAATTGAATATTTGAATGATTTTAACAAAACTTAGGTAAGTTTTCATTATAGCAATTTTCAAACAGACTGCGTATATTCTGTAAAAAATCAGGAATCCATAAGTTTGTTTCTAATAAATTAAGCTCATCAATTTTTAATTAATGTTTTCAGCCAATTCATGAGTGGCCGAATCGAAAATAGTTCAAGTTTCATCAAATTTTTTGGCACGCTTTTTCAGGAGGGGGAGGGGTTTTCAAAAAGTTTGAGAAATTTTTTTGACCTTTTTTTTCAAGTCGAGCAAATTGATTTTTCGAGCGCTGCCAGAACATTTTAAAGACCCTGTTTGGTTGGTAAGAAGGTCGAGTCCCTGAAGGCGAGCCCCCCCCCCCCATCTAAATCCGCTCTTGCTCATTTTACATCATGAAACGAGTAAAAATTAGTCACTGACGTCAAAAGAAACAGATTTGGACAAATTTAGGTAATTTAAATTTTACTTAAACCTAAAATTTGGCTTTAACTATATATAAAATTTCTTCACATGCTCTCCATTCTGTTCAGGCGACCCAAACTCGTCACTGCTGAACAACAGCGAAAGTGTAGCAAGTGACAGTACGCCAAGTAGTGCTACAGAGAGAAGAGCAGTGGTGCTTAACAGTGCGAGTAAAAAACTACCGTGGGGAGAGGTGAACACCTTCAGTAGTAATCATAATAACGGGAGCTCAGGAGGGGCGCAGAATAATACAGGAGAGGGAGGAGGGAATGGTAACATTAACGACGCAAACATGGATCATCTACCCAATGGGTTCAAGGTTAATAAATCTATCTCAATTTTGTATGTGGAGTTTTCAAAAGCAATGAAATTTATTCTGAAAACCGTCCTATAAATTGGAAAAAAGTTTAAAACCGGCCTGAAAAAGCTTAAAATTGGATCTCAAAAAGCTTAAAATTGGATGTTCTTGGTGTCTCTTTTTTATGCATCACAGGAATATAATTTTTAAGGTCACTAAAAGTAGCAGAAAAGGATCTCTAGAAACCATCGATAGCGGTTCGAATTTTCTGTTTAGTTAGTCAGTGGAGCTTGTGTTATAGTAGTAAGGCCTTTTCATAAAACGTTTCTTATTTTGCATAGTTTTGGTTCTGGGATTTTTATCCGCATTAAAAGGACGTTTTCTATGTAAAGCACATTCTATGTAAGAGTTTCTATGTAAAGCACACGAACACTTGTCGGTAAAACAGATCTTAGAAGTTTTTACGCTTGCGATCTAATATACGACCCTGACCTAATATTAGTCTCATATGCACACAAGCAAAAACTGCAAATCGGTTCTTCCCGTTATAGACGCCCTCTGTTTTTTTAATTTACTCTAGAACAATCGTTTTATTTTAAATCAAAAAAGCATTCACACAAAAGTGCATGCATCCATATTTTGTTATGCTGCATATATGTAAGGTTTATAGGCAAAAATTTTTTCTTGTTTCATCTGATTTAATTACGGGAGGGGGGGGGGTTGCTGTTATTGGAAAGACCCTACGAATCAAATTTTTCTTCTAAACCAAGTCGCTTAACTTTGTACCATGTATCTTATATTTGGTAAATACAACCATTATTAAGAGTTAGTGAAGACTCTTATATAGGTCTTGCTGATTTTTTGTTTTCTTCTTCAGAAAAAGTCTTAAAATACTTTAATTACTACCGATGTGCATTCATACATACTAATGCATCTATGAATGCACGTAGGTATTTATGCCTTTTTTTGAGTTCAATTGAAATTCATCTGCTGAAAGTGACGTAAATAGGACTCTCCAAAAACTAACTTGGAAATGGCGCGAAAAAGCGTGAACAATTTCTAGTTTCGAAAGTGGAATTTAGTTTTTAGATTTGCAGCGGAATAAAATCTTTACCCATTGATCTAATTTTCTCTAGTTGGGTTCATGTTATCAAAAAAGCGCCATAAATTGTTATAGAAATTCGAAGATCTTAAAGGGCATCTATTTTTTTCTCTGAAATTCGAAAGTTGAGATTTTTTCAACAAAGTCTTTTTTTTCGTTTACTTGCGTTCATTACTCTTTGCCAACTTTAGTTGGTTATGTTTTTCAGTAATGGTCTGAAATTTTGTCCAGGCTCAAATGTACTTTTTCGACGTTTGACTCATGATTTTTTAAATTCATTTCATTTCCTCTGTTAAAAGAAAAGCAAACTCCACAATCGAAGAGCAAAAGTGTAAAGGTAGCAAAAAAACGTTATCGACTTTCCGTATATAAAATGGAAATTAATTTTCAGATATCCCAGCAAAAAAAACTAACAATTAACTATTGATCAAGTTTTCTCAATTTGAGTAGTTAAAGGAAACGTTTGAATCAGTGCTTAGAATCATTTTTTTGCCGTCTTTTGCCTGTTCAAATGAAGTTCATTTGGTTTCTGTGATGAGCACCGGTGCTTCTTAGCTGTTTTAAAATGTTTGCTGGAAAATTGTTTGTTGGTTTTTTAAAAGTACAAGAACGAAGTGATTTTCAGTTCATTTTGTTTAGTAAAAGGAAGTCAAACAGCAAAAAAGTAAACTTAACGAAAAATTTGAATAACTTTCTGTTTTCAAAAATTGACTCATGTTTTTGGCTAAAGGTCTTGGAATTAAATCACGCTCAATTTTTTGTTTGCGGTAAGACTTGAGGTTTTTGTAAAACTTTTTTTGGAAAATCAATTGCTGATTGGAAAGCAAATACTGAACGCACTGATTGATTGTTAATTATTGATTGTTGCAAAGTTGGTTTTTAAGTTTTCCCTGCGGAAAAATACTTCCTCAATCAGTTTTGTCAGTAGGGTAAGTTTTATGAACTTCAAAAACTGAAACGTGATATATTTTTATTCGACATTCAAAACTGGAAAACTATTTATACAAGTGGAGCATAGTGTATTATTAAGAAGTCTTAATACCTATTTTTTTAAAACTCAAATCTTAAATAAAGGATCATTATATCTTAGTATACTTTTGCTGCATTAGCATTATACTTTTGTATCTGGTTAATATGTGGGTAATAATTGAAGATCGTTAAGCGACTATAGCGCAAGATGCTAGGTTGTGTGACTGGTAATTATTGAGGTCGAGTTTCAATTCCAGCACATCAGAATTTTTTATTAGTCTTGTCTTTTAGAGCTGTTTTAGAGCTTTTTTTGTCCCCATTAGAGCTGTTTTTTTTGCCGTTTTTTTCAGTGTGTATCAAATTAAAATTTTATTTTCCGGCAGAAATTGAATGGGATGCCTCAAATTTTGCCTGCATGGTTCCTTATCACGGATTCTTCTTGTGCTGTAAGCTAGTATCATGGTGGTTGAAAATGATGTGTACTGTAGTTTCAGGGGTAGTTGAAACTTTAAAAAGCTTTTTATAAATACAATTTTTTTTGGCTCAACTGGTTTCTGCTCAAAGATAGGGCTTTCTTTCCGCTTCGTAAGTTTTGTTCCGTTGCTAATTTAAAGTTAAACAGTTTTGTTCAGCATTTTTTCCTAGACTTTGTATAAAATTAAAACCGGTATAATAAAAATTTATGGAATTTATTCAAATGTATTTAATTGTTTTTAGACGCTTTGGAATTTTTTCACTTTTTTTTTGCAAAAATTTTTTGCTCTCAAACTACCGATTTTCACTCCTCAGCCCTCAGCCATACTCAATTTCTTGAAAATTCGAAGAAAAATACTCATCTGAAGTAGTATTTAATTTTTGGGTTTCTTTTAAGCTTGGGTTTCTTTTATTTTTGATACAAGCAATTTTTTTTATCATTGAAATTGTAAATAAAAATTCACCAGCTCTGATTCTGAATATTTTGTTTTCGTTCAAGTGAGTTCGGGCTGTTATACTGGCTCAGTCAACTTATATTGCGTAGGTTCACAGGCGAATGTTTAAATTGCTTTTGCCAGTTTCAGAAGGGATGGGACGCAAAAAAATTGATTTTGAAAACTTATAGCTTGAATTTTTTTTAATGATAACAGTTTTGTTTTCGGCTTAACGAGGTTTGACTGAAGTTTTTTGGCATGTTTGCCGACCGGTCATTGATGCTCAAGGCTTGCTTATGAATTTATGTGAGACAAAAGTATGAAGTTTTGTAGATGTTTTTATGAACTTTTTTAACCTTAATTATTCATAAAAACTTGGCCTCCTTTTTCAACTTCTTGTAAAGCAATGTTTTAATTGAATCGCAAGTGTTGCGAAGTTCCGCTTCACCTCTGTGTTACCCTTGCGATCAGCTTGGGTATTGCAATCGGGTACTAGACTTTATTTTTCCCTTAAATAAATTGGTTCACAGAATAGTCAAAACTAGAAATGGTTCTATTTTCAGCTGGCAGTGAATTAAATTTTCTCAGCGTTTTTCAATCTGACAGTACATGTTTTTTAAACGGGAAATATTCCGTTTCAAACAAATTGTCGGCGTATTATTTGTCTGCTTATGTTTTTTCGGCTTAGTTGCCACATCTTAGATTTTTTTTGTTTTACGCAGTTTACATTGTACTTGCGTTTATTGTTTTGCTTTATTTCTGCTGTTTGTAATTTTACTAGCCTTGACTTCGTATATTTTATTTTATTTTTCGTTTTAAAGTTTTGTGCTGCCAAAAAGATATCGGCCTATGTTTCATGGCTTAATTGCCTATTTTTGGTCATTTCAAGAGTCATTCCCCTCTGGATCGCTCAAAAAAGCATTTTTTTTGGATGGCATTTTTTTTGGATCTTTATTAAACGCCATCAATTGTTCTCCCCTTTCAGAACTTCAGTCCAGACAATTTTGAAGTTTTTAGTAGTTTTTTTAATCGAATTTGTTTCTATTAGTTTTGGACATAGTGGTCATCTTTTTCTTTCCCGTCTGCTAGTTTGTAATGCTATTTTTATGTCGTAGTGGTGGTGTGAAGCTCCGCTTCGCCTCTGTGTATCAAATTATTCCTTTTTGTGTTCGGCTGAAAAATATCTTGTGTATGCGTTGTCTGGTTACCTGAATTAGACGCATTTTTTTTTTCGAGAAGCTACTGAAAATATGTTTTTTCGTTTTATGTTCAAGTTTTTCTTTGATGTTTCGATCACTCTCACACTTTCAAATTGATTACCTGACCTTCTAAATTATTTCGACTACAATTTCAACAACATTTTACCTATTATCACTTCATCTTTTTTTTAAAATTAAATCAGTCACCCTAAAATACAATGAGCTGTAAAAATTTTTTAAATTTATTTTAGGACTTATTCAAAGTAAAGATTTTTCTCTGTATTTTTCATTTTTCTACTTAAACTACTGTGGTAGGAACATTCTGTGCTACTAGGCTATCCTTGTTCATTTTTTGAGTATAATTTCATTCGAATGCCGTTTCGATGTCCTTGTGAGCCCTCATGTATCCCTTGAGATTTGATATCCTGGTTACTTCATAAATTAATTTGGACCCCGGTTTTTGAGTTCGTTGACTTCTTCTGAGCTGTATGTTGGCTATGTTTTTTTTTACGTCAAGTAACCTATTTTGTTTAAATATTTTAATATTTTTAAGCATAAAGAATTGGCTGAAGTTTGAAAAACAAATCGAGCAATTTTTTCCTTGGTTTCGTTCAATACAGAAATAACTGTTGTCGGAACATTCTGGGCTAATTGCGCACTGATTGACTCTTCTTTAATTGTGTTTTATAAGCCGAAGATCGACTGCCTTTCTCCCTCACCTATCGTCAAGATAATGTAAGATAGGACCCCTGGATAATCTAGTGCCTTGTTACAAAAATTGATATCATTCAGACTTACGTATCTTACGTCAATGGTCAACTTAATCATGTCACTGACAAGGGCGTCTAGGTCTAATGTGGTAACTGTCTCGAATTTCAAATGAAGTTGTGCTTTAAGTCGGAGATTATAGATTAAGACTCGGTAGCTTTTACTTTTGTCTATTGTTCAATTGCAAAGACTGTCTGGTTTAAGTTTTTGTAGGTAAATCTGAGAGGTTTTCAGAACGTGACCAACTAGATCAATATGCAATATTTTTTAAATCTATAATCATGAGTACAAGTTTTTTGTGAAAATTTTTGGTAAAGTGAGTATTGGAGAGAAAAGCGTCAGAAAGATGTCTTCTTTTAGATATTATTTGTAATATTTATGTTTGTGTGTTGAATAGTATCCACATAAACAAGAGGCATTTTAATATATTATACCTTTGGTAGTGTAACTTGAAGCTGGATTATCTCTGGTTGTTTTTCAATCGATTGTTTTAAATAAGAGGTCATTGCACATGCAGATTAATTGACCCAAGCCTTTAATAGTTAATGCATTATTTTTTTAATGGTATTTGCATTATCGTTAGTTCATGAATCTTCAAGGTTTTGCTAATCAGTTTTTTTTCCTGCTAATTTCTGAAAAAGTATTGTTTCTTCGACAAAATAAACTTGATCTGAATTAAATCTTTTTCTATTGATTTTGTTTTTTGGTCTGGTCTAATTTTTTTATTTTTGGCTGTACCTTTCACGCTTTCAGTACTAAATTAAAGCCTTTAGTTGTTTGGTTTCTGTTAATTCCATTTTCTGTACCAATTTGATTTTTTAATGTCGTTTTTGTTCATATTGGTAGATAATCAATTATTCAAAGGCAATAAACTGAAACATTTAGCACGTTTAAAATATTTTCATCTGTTAGTTTTTGTTTCGAATCGAACTTGAACAGAATTTTTCCACATTTTTCTATCCTTTCTCTTAAATAATATTTAATCAGCAAACTAGAAATCATATTTACACAGCTATGTTTTTATCGTTTCCTCGCTGTTTGAACAAAAATAATCAAATTCAAAATTCATACGATGCTCAATTTGATTTTGCTGCTATAAAACTGCTTTTTATTTTGCTGTTTGAGGAAAATATATATGCATCTGAGTGGTATTTGCCGGATAAGTAACGTAAGAGATTTATGGTAGGAAAAGCTGGGATGTTTTCAAACGGTAGCTTTGATAAGAAAAGAATGTTTGATTTGACGCTTAAATTTTTGGCTTGCAGACATGCTTTGCAAAAAAATACGCTTATCAAAGACGTGATCGTATATGATCATGCACAATCCTGTTTTTCAGTTTTAGACTTCGAGGAGTAATTATGTAGTTTCCAGAATTTGATTTTAAATTATAAATAAGAAGGGGTTCAATAAAAACGGTTGATAATGTGTTATGGTTGTTGAAAACAATTTTGGACGGAGAAGCTCTGTAACCATGTATATTTGTAAAACAAGTACAAGCGGAGCCGAAAGTTTTAAATCGGATGTGATCGACTGTTTATTTTGGTCTTTTCCTTCAGAAACAGCAATTATTGTACAAGTATAATACTTGGGTCCCTGTAAAACTACTGCGAAAGATGGGTCCCTTCATCGTTTAAGAAAAACCGAATTATGGCAAGTAAAAAAATACGCATTCGGGGTCAAAACTATCATACTTGTACCTTCTCGGTTTCAATAGAGTAGAAGCAGCGTTATCTAGTTGTGATCTTGTGTATGTTTGTGTTTCAGAAACCTCTCATTCCTCCGTCGAAGAATCGAAACAATTTTGCCGGAAGAACCAGAGCTTACAGTGAGTGCAAAGCAAAATTTCTAGGTTTAAATTGAACAAATGCTATTAAGCCATATCTTTTTATTTTTAAAAGCATCAACAAATAGAGATTTTCCTTTTTAAGAGTCGATGAACGTAGATCAGAGAGACTCATATATAGATCGTGGTGATTTTTTTCAAGAAAAAACCTAAAATTTGTCCAGGCTCAAATTTATTTTTTCGAGGCTTGACTTCTGATTTTTTCAAGTTCCCTTCATTTATTTTTGAAAGAAAGGCAAACTCTACTATCGAACAGCAAAAGTGTAAAGGTCACGAAAAACGTCAGATTTCCCTTCATTGTTACTTTATATGCATTTGACAAACGGAAGACAAATTGAGCTCTCAAGTCACAAAAGTTCAAGTGGAACTAACATTCAAAGTGGCTTTAGTGTGAATTAAAGAAGTTTCAATGGAATGAGGAAAAATCACATTTCGATGTAGTTTTCACAATTTTGTTTTTAACCCTTGCGATAAGTAGGGGTGTTGCAATCGGGTATTAGATTGTTTTCCCCCATTAAATAGATATGTTAACTGAATAAATCAAATTGGTGATCATCTCGATCTGTTCTTTCGTCAACGGAACGGACAGTTTTTAAGCATATCTGCTCTTTAATTTCCCGTTCTATTCAAAAAAATTTTACGTTGGTTGTAAATTTACCAGCTTCGATTTCAGTGTATCGTTTTTTTTCGTTTTCATTTTCTTTTTATTCTGCTTAAATGGCTTTGCCGTATAAGTTGTCGCAACATATATAAATTATTTTTTGGCTTAGAAGCCTCTTTTGAGTCGTTTGAGGAGCAGAAACGTTTAATTGAAATGGTTTGAGGGGAATGATTGTTTTTCGGCGCTGCGCGTGTCTGCTCAAGATTTATCGGCTTTGCTACCGCTTGGTAAGTTTTGTTTCGATGATTATTTAACCTTCAATTGTCCGACTTGGAGAATTTTCTTGAATGTGTTATGGTTGTTGAAAACAATTTTGGACGGAGAAGCTCTGTAACCATGTATATTTGTAAAACAAGTACAAGCGGAGCCGAAAGTTTTAAATCGGATGTGATCGACTGTTTATTTTGGTCTTTTCCTTCAGAAACAGCAATTATTGTACAAGTATAATACTTGGGTCCCTGTAAAACTACTGCGAAAGATGGGTCCCTTCATCGTTTAAGAAAAACCGAATTATGGCAAGTAAAAAAATTGGCTTAGAAGCCTCGTAGATTGGCTTGGTAGATTAATTTGAAGTTGTTTTTAATTTTTTGATTTGCGGGTCTTATGCAATTAGCGATAGTCGTTCATTTTTGTATCGCAAGTGGTGTGAAGCTCTCCTTCGCCTTTGGGTGAAAAGAAAGTTGTCTGGCTCCAGGGTTTTTTGATATTCAAGAGCTTTTAGGTGATATGTTCATATTGCTGCGAAGATTTAGAAAATTTTTTAAACCAATTGCAGACTTTTTTCGGTTCCCTTGATTTTATTTTCTAATGTCTGTTGTCTGTTTTTTTTTCTTCGTCTAATTGGTTTTTGAAGAGCTCATTAAATGAGAAAGCCTAAAGTGGTAGAGCTTTAATCTTCCTTGCCTTAGTTTTGTAAATTTGGAGAAAGCAAAAGGGGTTTTTGTTGTGTTCTAAGTGACACAATCAACTAACTGCATGAAAACGTTTGAATAATTTGGTCATTTTCAGCTAGTAGAACAGGTATAATTTACGACGTACACTTAAATTGATTATTTAATTAATTTCAAGTAGATGAATTCGACTAAAATGTCTGACTTAGCGAGAAAATATTGACGCTCTTTTGATGCAAATTGGCTCCTGATTTGAAATATAATGATCATGTGTCCGAGAATAACTTTTTCATGTACACTTTGCGTTTATGGTAATTTTTGACTTTTTAAAACTACTTTACTGATCAAAAATTGGTTTTAGAGCATATTTACATCGCGATTTTGACTTAAACATTGAAATGACTATGAACAGTACTTCCAATGATAAGATTTTTTTTCTTCTATAATATGACCAAAATAGTTTCTGTGGTAATTTAGTTCGAAGCAAATAGTATTAACAGATTTTTTGTATCTGAGTTCATTTCGAGTTCATTTTTTTTGTATAGATCGTATTTTATTTCTGATTAAATTGATTGATGATGTTATGACATTGATGTTAATGATGAAAATTGTTAAGGATTTAATTTGAGTCTTTCGAGTTTTCCTTGACTTAGGTTTTTCCAATTCTACGTTGGCAATTGGCAATTCTGATGAACTTAATGATATTTTGTAATTCTAATAGAATTGTGTCTGGTTTAGACTCGGAGGAGCTGGAGTCTTCCAATCTGTCTTCAGGCTACGTATCGATGAGGCATACAGCCAGGCCACACTCGGACACATCAGGTCAGCGCCAATACTTATGTTTTCCTATCATATAATTATTAAATTGTTCCGGGCTGACATAGAAAATATAAAAGCTATTCCCTGGGCACCAATAAATTATCAAGAAGTTTTATGGTCCGTTTTTTAATATTCCCGAAACAAAACAGTAAACTCAATTGTATTTAAAAAACGTAAGACCATATTGTCTTTTCTTAAAACTCTTAAATTCAGTTTCTCCGTTATTTTACTGGATTGGTTTTTGTTGCCTCGCCCTCTTATTAGGAGCAAACCAATGGTTGCCTCGTAACTAACCGAGTAAAAATTGTTGCTGCTTAAAGATCTAGTGCCCAGTAGCAAAATCTCAACCACGTCAACCTCGACATCTCTGTGTTCTTACTCATCATGCTCCTCTTTCGATCTGGCCCCCATGCGAAAGAGAAGAGGCCCAGTAGGGCGGGGGGTTTCTATGGGAGTAGCTGGAGTCAAAGGGGGACACCCATACAACAATTATATTAACACTAATGACAACAATAATTACAGTAACAATAGCACTAGTCAACATCATGATCAGAATTATCAGATGTGGCAAGGAGTGAATAGTAGTCCTACGTTGGTCCAAGGGAAGGGTAAGAAATTGGATCGAAGATTCAATCCTCGATGATGAACGTCGGATTATTTTCGTCTTATTTCTGTCCTTGCTCTTTACTTTTTTTCTTAAATTGCATTTTTATGCGTTGCTGAAAATATTTCAGTGGTAATACAAAAATATATTAAACGCGAATCGCCGTTATTATTTCTTGGACGTCAAGTTTTAGGCCCTCATCGGAATTCGACCCAGTAATTTTGTATGCTCCGATAAGATGTGTTTGATATTTATTCCCTGGCTGAACAACGACGTGCATTAGTTTAAAAAAAAAATGCTAATAAAAGCGACAGAACAGAATATACAAAACAGTTTATCCCATTTTTTGGATAGTTTTTTGAAACACTTGTTTAAAACGAAGCCTATCTTACTCTTCGGTCTCTTTCTCGAAACATGATGTTTTTAGATGATGAAAAGAATGGTAGGTCATCAGGTAGATACGATTATTTTCAGTTATAATTAGAAAGAAAGAGAAATATAGATGCGTTTCACTCATCTATGTTTACTCCAGACATCCGTAGTTACTTAGCTCGTTCAAATTAGTCTTTGCGAGTTGATTGCGCGCTTTTTAGTAGATTTAAATGAGAAACATTTAATCTCGACATTGATTCTATTGTTATTTAATACTGAAAATCTTAGTGAGAGTATCAATTTTCAGCCAAGATTTCGCAAGCCAAGGCCTTCGCAGACCAAAACAGCAACCACAGTTCGAGTGGGTTGGACTCTGGATTCGAAACCGGAGGAGTTTCCTCTGGGCTCGGAGGTATGGAAGGGTTCCCGACTAAACCTCAATTGGCCAGATCGGCAACATCACGTGACCAGAAGGCACTGAAGAATAACAGCCAGGGGGTGAATAGTGGAGGCGATGGAGTGGGCGGGGAAGACTTGCCAATTGATGATGTTAGTTTATTTTTGTTACTGAAAGTTAGCGAATTTTGATAATTTAGTCGAATGAGAGACCATTTGTGGTACTACTAAACAACTACTTGGTTCGATAATTGGATATTTTGGTGCAAAATTTCAATTCACAGGTAGCGTTTTAACTCTTAATCACGCTCTTTGATTGGCGAAATCTATAAACCTTTTTCTGGTCAGAAAATTACTTGATGAAAACTTTTTTTTCCTGTTCTGCGTTAAGTTAAACAGCATTAGGATCCTAGATGTAAATATGTACTTATAAAATTCAATTTCCCTAGCTTTAGTATGTTCATGCATTCAATTTGAATTGAACTGACCGCTGTAATTTGCTTTAAAAACATTCACCTGGAGCCGCATTCAAAACAAATATTTAATTTTGGAATGTACCAAATGGGAGTAAAATTTCAATTTTACTCCTATTTTGTCAATAAAACGACAGGTGATTTGGAAATCAGAGAAGGGAAAAATAAAAAGTACCGGCTAATTCTAAGCCGTCTCTTGGATTAATGTGGCTCTATGGTTTCAAATTTTTTTCTTGGCCTGCTTATGGTCGCATGAAATTAGCCGATGTACAAACTAGACAATCATCCAATAAAAAACAATAGAACAGAGAAAACGATCTAAATGAGGCTGCTTAATAATTATAATCAAAAGAGATATAATTGAACCCAACTAGCCGGTTGCTGTACAAGTAGCACATGGTGTTCCGACCATAATCTCTAAAAATACAAAAAAAAAGTTTTTCAATTCGAGTTGCATTTTTTTGCTTGGTGTCATAAAAGGATCTATACGAATTCGATTACGATTAAGAACATTTATCCACGGAAGAAAGGACCAACACAAGAGCTGTACAACTCATCACGGCGAACCGCTGTTGCGCCCCTGTTTAAGAACTACATGCAATTTTTTTGGTTATTTTTCTGGGCTGGGTAATGTTGCTTCACCCTCAAGCAACGAGCACGGATCATGGTGGGCCTCGAACATCCGACCTTTCGATTGAGAGGCGGAGACCTAACCACTTCACCACCGCTCCGACTTCACCAGAATTTAGGCATATTCGACAGTGAAAGTATAATAGGCAAAATGTACTATTTTTTTTTAGAAAATTGACAATAACAAAAAAACAAACATTAAAAACATCAAATTTTTAATTTCTATTCTAAAAATCTATTTTAAAAAATTATATTCGAATAAATTTGAATTTTCAAGGCCTGAATTAAGCATAAATAAGCTATTGTAATTAATATTGCATAAATAAGCCTACTCGCTCGCTTTATTTGCACGAATATAGATAAAGGTCAACACGTTTAAATCTGTTTTTCTCGATACTGGATCAATTTTACGAAACTTATTTTGTCGTTCGAATCATTATCAAATGACTTATTATGATATATCACTCAATCCAGTCCGATTCTTATTGGTGGTAGCTACTTGCTTGAAAAACAAAAAAAAATTAAAAACAAAAGCTTAAAAAAATACTAACTAAAATATTTTAAATACTGAAAAAACCATGTTTTTTTTTTCATCCGCTCCAGTTTTTTAGAGGGATTGAAGTATTTTTTTGAATTAATGTATTAAGCTGCAAGAGTTAGGTTGTGATAGCTAAATAATGTAAAATAAAAGAAAAACTCGATTGTAATTTCAGGCTTTCCGGTTCAAAAAGTCGAAAACGAAATAAAATCAGACCAGTTTTTGCGACATAGATTACTTTTTGAATTTATTTTGGAATCTGAATCACGGCCTATTATTATGATATCAATCTTAACTAGCTGCAAGTTTTCTTTATGCTATCCAAAATCGAGCTGAAAAAGCCCACTTCACGCCATTGTTTTCCATCTCCCTAAGGGCTGGTATGTTTTTCTTTTATACCCATGAAGTGATCGGAACGAAATAAGCCAACGAGTATTCGTTTGGCTGTCCTATTTATACACTCTAGTTTCAGCTCGTTTTTTTTCGGTTTGATCGATACGATGCTTTGGTTTATTGTAATAAATAGCTGATGCACTAATAATTGAGTGTTGATATGAAAAGAAAATAGGTTTTGTTAAGGTTTCGTGTGGGGTTTGAAATGTAATGTATCAATTAATTGAGCAATTGTGCGTTGATGACAGATTGAAATGCAGGTAATGCGAGGATGATGTAATTGTCATAAATCATGATTGGCTTGTTGACTAGATGTGTCATTTTACATAACCTAACCGTACCATGAATCATGTGCTTATACATTTTTTAGCATTTGATATTCTTTCAGTTCAGAGTAGGCTGTATTTCGTCGTAAATCACCGATTTGGTCTGCAGTGAGCCGTAGAGATATCTCTTAATTTTGAAGTGAAATCAAATTTCATGATAACGAAAATGGGTGATATGTTACAATAGTTGGTAATTTTGAGTGCAGTGCATGTATTGAATATGAGAACTATAATGCATAATATAGGCATTTCATTTTCAATCAATTATACTACTACTAAGATAGTTTTTGTAAATACATTACTATGCCAGATGAAATACTATTTAAAAATTCAAAATATACACTTCTTTTGCCAAAAAATTTGGCTTTTGAAACAAATTATAAACAATGTGCGAAGTATCACAAAAAGCGATCCAGCTATCCAAATTGATCTTACCACCTAATGTAATGTATCACCCGAAAATGTAACAGAAATCGTGTTATATTCATGCTTAGTAGCGGTCTTCAAATGAGCTAACCAGAAACTGAAATAAAAAGTTCGTGTAGCTAGCTTCTGTAGACTGTTATTTGTTGTACGTTACGACCTAATATCAAGTTTGACGAAGGTATCGCTTTGATGAACCACGATATTTCAAAACGATTCATTACCTGGGCCATTTTGGTTTGTCAAAGGCCATTTACCACCTGTAAGATTCGTAGGCACAATTTCTCAAATGAACGCATTACAAACCAACAGAGGGGTTTTTATGTTATAAATTATAATGAGAGAGTTTGAAACATAAGATCGGCCGTTGATTAACTAAAAGATTCAGATCAATTCTCATGCCATTAATACTATAGTTAATGTTTTATAGCAATATTTGACTGCTAATCATTACCCAAATTAAGTTATATTAAAGTTATAATGAAGCTATTATAAATACCTGATTTAGAAAGCTCTCAGCTCTGTGCGTAATTCGGCGGCTAAGAAGAAGGCTGAGAAGCGAACTGACTCGACCGAGTCTCCCTACTCCAGTGGGAACAACATACCAGATATAAACTACACAATAGCAGGTCTGTACTATGTGAATGTTAGCAATGGTACAAATTAAAGTTTAGTTTATTGAATCATTCGTTTTAGAAAACTTGAAATGCATGAAGTAAAGATGACCATTTTTTGTCTTACTGATTTTTTGACATTGTAAACTACGGTTGAAATGGTTCAGAACTTTCGAATGATTTAATTTTTGTTATTATTTTTGCTTCATAGTGTGTTGGTAACTATTCTTTTTCAGGCTGTATTAGGTGAGAATTGTCTGGGCTAATTTTGCCATCTAACGAAAAAAATTGTTTGCAGGTGGTCCACAACATGACAATAGGTACACGAGAGATCAAAGAGGTACCTCTAATGGCAATAATGGATATTACAATGGACACTTGAGGCCGAACCAGTCCTCACATGTGTCGGATAAATTGGATTTGGAGAATCTACCAGTGGAGACTCTTCAGCAGAAAGTTGAAATGTGAGTTAGAGTTTTTCAAGGTGCAGCATAGGTGATTTTTTAGTAGATGTCTTAACAAGCTTTCAATCACGTCAGGTTTTTTTCAGTAAGTCATCTTGAACCTTAATTTCTCTTGACATTTTGAAGAAAATGTTTTTTTTTAGTTGACTTTGTTAGCTTAGAGTTTTTATGCGCTTTCCCACAATCAGAAATAGCTTCGCTCTGGAATCTGGAGGCGCGGTCGACCAAAAGCTAGCAGTCATTCGCCAGTGTGTCATCGCATAACATAAATGCCTGGACAAAAGATCTTAGAGCGAAGTTTTACCATTAAACAGGACAGGAAGGGCTTCTTGTCCTGTTTAATGGTAAAACTTCGCTCTAAGATTTTTTGTCCAGGCATTTGTGTTAAGCGAGGACACACTGGCGAATGACTTCTAGCTTTTTGTCGACCGCGCCTCCAGATTCCAGAGCGAAGCTATTCCTTAGTGTGGGAAAGTGCATAAAACAGTCATGGGTTAAAAAAAGGGTTTCTGCTAATGTGTTCTCGGCTTTGTTAGCGCTTGGCAATTCTTTCTGATGCTAATTTCGCATTCTGTTGTCTCAGAGGTTTTTTTCAATACTGGCCTAATTCATTTTGATAGATCTCGTTTCGACTGTTTCGATTTTTTTCCGACCTAGCGGCTTTCTTGTTTTGTATGGCAAATAATTTTCAGCAATGTTTTTGTTAATAAAAAATGTTTTTGTTTTGTGCATCAGTTCGATTTCACATATACTAAGATTGATGCTCATTCGCCTCTTAAATTGTAACAAAGCACGAAAGATTGATGTCGAATAAGCGCAGTCTGAAATTTTTGTTTGCTAAAGTAGCATTGTCAAAAACTAGAAGAAATTTACCTGATTCAATTTAACCTGATTTATTTTATTCTGAGTGACATGATTTCCTGTCAAATGACGCAATGCGAGCATCATTTATCAGAATAGCACCATGCTCGTTGAAATGGCGGCAAATTGCGCCTCTGCTGCTGAAAAATAGTGACTTGATTGTAAGGAGTCATATCTACGGAGCTTGTCTCCGGCCAGTTCTGATGTTGCCCTGAACTCTGAGCGCATACCAAGGCAATATCCAGCTCTCCTATGAGTGCTGATATGAAAGCTCTCTATAGGATCAGAGGAGTCACAAATAAAGACAGAAACCAACAAAGGAGTTTTGAAATGACAGGGTTTGTTGATCTGGACAAGCTACAATTACGGCTACGATGGTTTGGCCATGTTAACCGGCGAGAAAATGATTATGCACTAAAATCAGCAGACTGTGTTTCAGTCCCTGGTAAAAGACCTGCTGGGAGACGGGAGACCTGAAAATCCCAGATTGATTGTGTTAAACGAAACCTGAGAAAATGAAGCCTCAAACCCACAGACTGCCTTGATCGAATGGCATGAAAAAACGTATTTTTTTTCCATTAAATAGCTTGAATTTTTACACCGAAGACTTTAGTCAAGGTGTTATGGTATCGTGTAACGGTTTTTTTTTTTAAATGTTGTCTGTTGTCAAGTGTCGACAAATAACGTCCACAGTTATCAATTATCATGTGGGCTGGACTATATCGCGCTATGTCACGTGATTGCGTATGTTTGTTTCTTTATTTGTTCATCTTTATTTATTTAATTATCTGTTCTTCTATTTATTTAATTATGTTTAGTTTGCTTATATTTATTTATAATTTATGTATGTACATATTTATTTTTGTTTATTTTTATCACGTGTTTTGTTTATTTATTTAATTATTCTTTCTTTCTTTTAGTTTTGCTTTTATTATTTCTGCGTGTGTATTTATTTAATTTATTTATTTTCATTTATTTATATTATGGGTCTGTTTGTTTGGTTATTTGTTCATATATATTTTTTCATGTCTATTTAATTATTTCTATTTCAACTTTTTATATATTTTGCATATGTTTTCTGATATTCAATTCAGGCTCTTTCGATTGTCCCAACAATGGACTCCAATGGCGAATTCGAAAAGGTGAAAGAAACACTTGCCGATGATGCGGTCTCTTGTGTTACCGAAGTTGTCCAAGTTGTGTCGTAGGGCATTCAACAATCGAACCACGACACCTGCTCCTCGTGCAACATCAAAAATGTTGAAGTCATTGAACTTAGCAAGGTGTGTAATTCAGACAATGCTTTTGTATTGCATTGAAAACTATTGTATCGTTGTTGAATAAAAACTGAAATCATTTTCGGTTGCAGGGAAAAGTTCTGAAGTGCAAGAATCCGGCATGTGGACTTGTCAGTCGGGCACCAACGCCAAAAGATGTTGCACACGTTGTTATTAGTGACAAACGCCGGTTTCTGATAGATTTAAATCTTTTTCCCGCTCCATGCACAAACGAAGTAAGCCTGTCTGAGTTCTTTCTCGAGAACCCGTCCATTACGCTCGAGTTCACCCAAGGCGTTGTATCACGTTTACACACCGCCTATTAGTAGTACGCTTAAGACTGCTTTACACTTTCTGGATGTCTAGTTGTAGACAAGTTTTTGTTATGTCTCTCAAATCGTTCAAATGTACCTTGTTATATTTTTGATTGACTAGCAGTAGATGAGTTCTTTGTGATAATTTTCTCTGAATCTTTTTTGAAATTTACCATTACTGCATTTTATTCATTCTCTTAGAGGGTCACAGTTGACAATGCAGGTCACGTCGAACAGTACGAGCATTTTGGACTACGTGTTTTAAGAATTTACAATCTGTTTTAATGTACGACCAATAAATTTTACACCTTAATTCTTAAAAAAAACATTTTCAATTCTTCCCTTGCCATTCTGAACAGGTGGTTACAAAGTTTTAGCTAGTCACTGTATGATTTTCTGCCAGCAGCTCAACTGGTCTGTGTATACTTGTATTAGGTACACAGTTTTTTTTCAACTGCTGTGTATACTTGTATTAGGTACACTGTAGTTTCAATCAACTGATCTGTGTATACTTGTATTAGGTACACAGTTATTCTATTTCAACTTTTGTGTATACTTGTATTAGGTACACTGTAGTTTCAATCAACTGGTATGTGTATACTTGTTTTAGGTACACAGTTTTTTTTCAACTGCTGTGTATACTTGTATTAGGTACACTGTAGTTTCAATCAACTGATCTATGTATACTTGTATTAGGTACACAGTTTTTCTATTTCAACAGCTGTGTATACTTGTATTAGGTACACTGTAGTTTCAATCAACTGGTCTGTGTATACTTGTATTAGGTACACAGTTTTTTTTCAACTGCTGTGTATACTTGTATTAGGTACACTGTAGTTTCAATCAACTGGTCTGTGTATACTTGTATTAGGTACACAGTTTTTCTATTTCAACTGCTGTGTATACTTGTATTAGGTACACTGTAGTTTAATCAACTGATCGTGTATACTTGTATTAGGTACACAGTTTCTTTAGTTTAACTGATCTGTGTATACTTGTAATAGGTACACTGTAGTTTCAATTAACTGGTCTGTGTATACTTGTATTAGGTGTAAAACAGGAGGCGTTTTGCTACACATACAAACACAATCTTTTGTATTTTATTATAGCTATAGAAATTGATCTACAATGCGTAAGTACGACATTTAGTTCTACGATTGTTATTTCAGGTTCTTTGTCAATATTTCAGGCTCTTTGTCAATATAGCAAAATTTTGGTGTATATATGTGTTAGTAAGATTTTTAGTTCTACAACGTTTATTCAGGCTCTTTGTCGATATAGCAAAATATTGGTGTATACATGTGTTAATACGATTTTAGCTCTAGAATTGTTATTTCAGGCTCTTCGTCAATATAGCAATATTTTAGCGTATACATGTGTTAGTACCATTTTTAGTTCTCGAACTGTTATTTTATGATCTATGTCAATATATCAAAATTTTAGTGTATACATGTGTTATTACGATTTTTAGTTCTCGAACTGTTATTTCATGATCTTTGTCAATATATCAAAATTTTATTGTATACATGTGTTAGTACCATTTTTAGTTCTCGAACTGTTATTCCATGATCTTTGTCAATATAGCAAAATTTTGGTGTATACATGTGTTAGTACGATTTTTAGCTCTAGAACTGTTATTCCATGATCTTTGTCAATATAGCAAAAATTTGACGTATACATGTGTTAGTACGATTTTTAGCTCTCGAACTGTTATTTCATGATCTTTGCCAATATAGCAAAATTTTGGTGTATACATGTGTTCGTACGATTTTTAGCTCACGAACTGTTATTTCAGGCTCTTTGTCAATATAGTAAAATTTTGGTGTATACATGTGTTAGTACGATTTTTAGTTCTAGAAGTGTTATTTTATGATCTTCGTTGATATTTCAAAAATTTAACCTATACATGTGTTAGTACGATTTTTAGTTCTAGAACTGTTATTTCAGGCTCTTTCTCGATATACCAAAATTTTGGTGTATACATGTATTAGTACGATTTTTTGTTCTAGAACTGTTATTCTTCAATTATTAGTTGTTCAAGTTGTTTGGTTTTTGCTTCAGTTTCTATGCCTTCGGTGTATTGCGCGTAGCGCCTATGTTTTCAGAGTACCATCATCTGAATGCTGGAATTTGTCAAGCTATCCAGATATACCATAGCTTAAGCGCTTTCGGAATGTCCAACCCCGCCACATAGGGTAAACGGACAATAAACGCATTAGTAGTAATCATGTTTTGAAATTCAAAAGAGCTGAACGTGATATATTGTTTTCTCCGTAATTTGAATGTTAAAAAGTTTTTGATTTTCTCAGATTTTTACTCTTATGAAAGTAAGTTTCTTGTAATCGGTTACTACACTTGTTTTCCGTAAACAACTTTTCTTACCCATTTTCAACTTTTCTTTTAGATTTATCATTGAATCTTATCAATTTTCAGTGTGCAATTGAAATTCTTTCTGATAAAGTTTGGTTTTGCTGGACTTTCGTTTGTCTGCTCAAGTTTTGTCGGCTTAGTTGCAACATGACGGATTTTTCTTCTGCTTTAAGTAAATATTATGGATTGGCAAGTGTTATTTTTTGCAGTTGCAGGGAGACTTGAAACTTTTAAAAGGTTTTTTAAAATCATTTATTTCGGCTCAACTGGTGTCTGCTGAAAGTTTGTCGGCTTTGTTTTCGCTTTAGTGTATACATGTGTTATTACGATTTTTAGTTCTCGAACTGTTATTTCATGATCTTTGTCAATATATCAAAATTTTATTGTATACATGTGTTAGTACCATTTTTAGTTCTCGAACTGTTATTCCATGATCTTTGTCAATATAGCAAAATTTTGGTGTATACATGTGTTAGTACGATTTTTAGCTCTAGAACTGTTATTCCATGATCTTTGTCAATATAGCAAAAATTTGACGTATACATGTGTTAGTACGATTTTTAGCTCTCGAACTGTTATTTCATGATCTTTGCCAATATAGCAAAATTTTGGTGTATACATGTGTTCGTACGATTTTTAGCTCACGAACTGTTATTTCAGGCTCTTTGTCAATATAGTAAAATTTTGGTGTATACATGTGTTAGTACGATTTTTAGTTCTAGAAGTGTTATTTTATGATCTTCGTTGATATTTCAAAAATTTAACCTATACATGTGTTAGTACGATTTTTAGTTCTAGAACTGTTATTTCAGGCTCTTTCTCGATATAGCAAAATTTTGGTGTATACATGTATTAGTACGATTTTTTGTTCTAGAACTGTTATTCTTCAATTATTAGTTGTTCAAGTTGTTTGGTTTTTGCTTCAGTTTCTATGCCTTCGGTGTATTGCGCGTAGCGCCTATGTTTTCAGAGTACCATCATCTGAATGCTGGAATTTGTCAAGCTATCCAGATATACCATAGCTTAAGCGCTTTCGGAATGTCCAACCCCGCCACATAGGGTAAACGGACAATAAACGCATTAGTAGTAATCATGTTTTGAAATTCAAAAGAGCTGAACGTGATATATTGTTTTCTCCGTAATTTGAATGTTAAAAAGTTTTTGATTTTCTCAGATTTTTACTCTTATGAAAGTAAGTTTCTTGTAATCGGTTACTACACTTGTTTTCCGTAAACAACTTTTCTTACCCATTTTCAACTTTTCTTTTAGATTTATCATTGAATCTTATCAATTTTCAGTGTGCAATTGAAATTCTTTCTGATAAAGTTTGGTTTTGCTGGACTTTCGTTTGTCTGCTCAAGTTTTGTCGGCTTAGTTGCAACATGACGGATTTTTCTTCTGCTTTAAGTAAATATTATGGATTGGCAAGTGTTATTTTTTGCAGTTGCAGGGAGACTTGAAACTTTTAAAAGGTTTTTTAAAATCATTTATTTCGGCTCAACTGGTGTCTGCTGAAAGTTTGTCGGCTTTGTTTTCGCTTTGTGAGTTTTCTTCCGTCGATAATATAGAAGTCAAATGTTTCGCTTGGCCTGTTTGCCTAATGTTCCTGTTTGATAAGAAAAGGTATTATGAAAATGTATGGAACTGTTTTTTTATTTTTTTTGAGACGCTCTGGATGTTTTTGCAAAAATTTAAGGTTTCTCATTTTTTTCTACGAATTTTAGAAAGGGTGTCAATGCAAATGTGTGCCTGCATACTCCCCTAGTCTATTTTCACTTAAACCCTCTGTCTACATCCGTCGCAAATATGCGGGAGAAGATTTGACCCTTTTTTAAGTTTTTTTTTTTCGTGGTCACAAAAACTAGATGTTGCGCGATTCTCTTCTTCATAAGCGGCTACTCCCAAAAGCTTGTTGCACAACAATCTATCAATCTCATAAATGTCAATTTTATTTATCGTTTTTTGAAGCCATTGGACTTTTCTGAAAAATTATACTCACAAATCTGAGTTTTGGATTCACTGGAATTACAGGTTGTGTGAATCTCTTCTGCTTAAAAAGCCCTGCATATTTTTTCTACTTGATAAGCTGTGATTCTCGGAGTTTCTTAACTACCCCCTAGTTCCTTAATAATTTACGTTCAAAAAGTTGAAGTTGCGTTCAAAATTGCGTTCAAATTGCGCTCAAAAAGTTGAAGGGAATCTTCTGTGTTGAAGCGACATCGACGAATTTTTAGGAGAAAAAGTATGGATTTAAATCAATGTCGTTTCATTTCAGCTCCAAAAATGAAATGGCAAGTGTAAAAACATATGTACGAAGTATTTATTTTTAAACTTTTTTTCAAGAAAAGGTTTGATTGCGCTCAAGTTTGATTTTTTCGCGGTTTGACTTTTGTTTTTGACTTTGGTTTATCTGAAGGCAAATTACGCTCTCTAATTATGGAAAAAAAATGTGAATGACTTCAATTGCGAAAGTCGATTATTATTTTACCCAAGCGAGCCATCGACCGTATTGTTATATTAGGGATCCTCATTTTCCAACCCAATTTGCATAAACTAGGGCTCATTTTGATGGCATTTTTGCTGCATACCATTAACAATCTATTAACAAATTCTTTGAAAGCTGATTCAATTTTAACTTTTATTTTACTTAATTTTTTCGGCCTTCCTTTTGCCATTTTCTCGCTTGTGTTCGTGAAGTGCAGCTTCGACGTCTGTGTTAGTTTACCCAACGGAATGAAAAAATAACCCTCTGGCCCAGCTTCCCTAATTGGGTTAGTCTTGATGAAAAAAGTGCCAATATTAAAAGTTTCTTGAAATTCTTGAAGCTTTCACGTGATTCTTTGAATTATTTTTTTTTTTTTGAACATGGTTGAAACTATGAAAAAGTCTAAAAAAACTTTAAACTTTCTGATGGCCATGTTTTACTCTCAGTTTTAATAGTGGATTAAAATTCGCAACGGAATTTATAAATCACCTATTGATTCATTTTTCCGGGTTACCTCGAGTTCATGAACAATTTTCCAGCTGTTGGATACTTGGAAATGGCGCGAAAAAACGTGAACGGTTTTTCTAGTTCCGAAAGTGGAATTTATTTTCAAGATTTCCCAGCGGAATAAAAACTTTACCTATTGATCCATTTTTGTCAAGTTGGGTTTATGTTATCAAAAAAGCGCCAATTATAAATAGTTCTAGAGTTTAAAGGGCATCTATTTTTTTTTGAAATTCGAAAGTTGAGATTTTTCCAAGAAAGTGTGTTTTATATGTTTACTTGCGTTCATTACGCAATCTCTTTTCCAATCTTTGATTGGCTATATTTTTTTTCGAGCTCCTTTGACCTAATAAAATGATGTCTCGCCTCAAAGTTTTGAAGTTAGCTATTGTTTGCTTAATTCAACAAGCTTTTGTTTATATAATTCGTTTTCTTTTTTCAGAATTTTCATTGATCTTGTGTTTTTGCTCGTTTTATTTAATTGATGACGCAGTAAACAAAGAAGAAATCGTTTTTTAGCTGTGTAGCTGTACCGATATTATTTGTGCGCTTTGCCTTCGAAAAATAATTGAGTTTATATTTTGCAAATATATAGCCAATTTAGCGTTGTAATTTATACTTGGTTGAAAACAGTAGATATTGCTGTATTTTGTTGGAACACACACACACACACACAAATACCTTCATTTTAAAAAAATTAATTATAGCATCTTTTATTGTGATTTTTGAGTCACCTGAAACATATTTTTGATTATCGAGATTTTACATTTTGAGATTTATATTCTAGGTACACTGCTGTCAGGAAAAGCTACAACCCTCAACTGTACAAAGGTGAGCACAGTTTAATTTAACAAGTAATTTAGATCGAATGGAATGAAATTTTAACTGGTTTCGAAGGAATTTCAGATTATTTTCAAATTTCATGTGAAAACGTTGAAACGTTTTTCGTGTGCAAAATTTTCCAAATTTATCTCTATTAAATTAATGAATTGAATCAAAATTCGGAAAATCCACGCCAGTTTCTGACGGTTGAAAAATGAAGATTTAGTTATATGATTTTTCTAGACCCCCTAGATGAGGATGATGACCTAAAATACAAGTCGGCACCGATTGGAAACTACTTTGAAGGAAACAAATATCCTTCACACAACGGAAACAACAACGCTTACAACGGTAAGTGCTCAATTAAAATCAGTGCTCAATGAAATTTTATCTGGTTCAATGTCCTTTTCTATTACCTAGGTCAAGGTCACGTATTGAGTTTTGATGTAAAAGTAAGTACTTAAATGATGCTCAGTTTTTGTGCAAGAGAGGATCGAACAACTTAATTTTATTCTCATGCTGCTGGTCATGACATTGTTTTATTTTAATTGAACTTGGCATCCAAAGCATGCTACGTTTTAATTTCACTTGGCGTTTCAGGTGATGATGAGAATTTGGCGGCGGTGGCAGTGATGGGTGCGGGTGACTCCACCCACCAGACCGCAACACTAAATGGCACCCCCTCAGGTGGGGGGATAAGTGACAGCAAGAGTGGGGCAGACGGAGTGAGTGACTCAACTAGAAGAAAGATAGAGGACATCAAGGAGAAGCAGAGGAGGGAGAAGGCGGAGAAGAAGAAGAGGGAGCAGCAGCAGAAGCTGCAGAAGAGCAGGGAGGAAGGTGAGAACTGCTAAGAAATAGATTAACGCCATTTATCCACGAGGGAAGGACCAACATTCGAGCTGTACAGCTCATCACGGCGAAGCGCTGTTGTGCCCCTGCTTAACAACTACATGCAATGTTTTTTGGTTAATTTACTGGGCTGGGTAATGTTGCCCCATCTTCAAGCAACGAGCACGGATCATGGTGGGCCTCACACATCCGACCTTTCGAAAAGAGAGGTTCATTTTAGAAAAGAAACGTTCATTTTTTAAAATTATTTTTATACAATCTCAAGTTGATCGAAAAAATTAAAAAGTGTGACTGTTTACTTGACATATTGCAAGAATGAGAGCTAATAATCACAAAAGTAACCTCAAGTGGAAAATTCAGCCACCCATCAATTTTAGTCTTATGTAGTCTGAAAATATTCAGACCCGTTTTTCACGACATGGACAAGTTTTTCGATTTTTTTTCGAATTCGAGTCTTGACCAATATTTATGCTTTAAAATGATACCACTTTTGATTCCGTGCACGCTTTCTTTGAGGTAATCAAATAATGTCCAAAAAACAATCCAAACACTCCGGCGATCAAACACTCAATTTCTTTGGGTAATTCGAGTTATAATATCGATTTTAAACCCTATTTAGCCAAGTCAGAAAAATGACGTTTTAAGTTTTACTGAAAGACATCAATGAGTTCAAGTTTTCTTTATTATTGATGTGCTTTCCGATGATGTATAGCTCGTTCATCTCATGGGAATTTCTTAATTCCTATCCTAAGTAAGATGAATTATCAACAAGGGAAAATACCAACATTCGAGATACTATTTCTTATCCGAGAACGGCAACTGTACCCGTGCTTAAAAACAAGAACTACACATGCTGTTTTTAAGTTAGTATTTTCTTTTCTTACAGCATGGGTGGATCCCACAGTTGAAACCCGTGCATCTCTCAACTCCGCCCCCACTCCAGGGCTCAAACACAACAACAACAGTCAGTCCAGCTATAACAGTCAACCACCACAGCAGACGCAATCACAACAGGGTCCAAAACACAAGTCCAGCTTGTTAGTTGATAACTTATAAATTTAACCAAGTTATAATCTTATATAACCAAGTAAATAACCTCTGTAGATAAATAAAAAATTAATCCCAGGTGACTTGGTGCCAAATTTGTTATGAGGCATGCGAATCTGCTGTAATCTTTTCTATGGTGTAATGAGCAACGAAACGTGTTTGAAAGAATCTTGCAATTATGTAGCTGAAAAAAGGTTTCGAACCTTGACGAATCAATAGAGCTTTTCAGCTGAAAATATTCCAATTCTAAAACGCTTTTGCAAAAACTCTGATATTTTGATATTTACATGTTATTTTTTCAGGAGCAAAAAGATCTTTGTAAGGTCCCACAAAATCGTATAAAACTTTTGAATTCTTGTTTTTCAAATATATTTTTACTTTTTAAATTTCAGGCCTGACTATTGGCCTAACAGGTACTGTTAAATAATCCGCGATTTAACTCATCGCGCGTTTATTGGCTTCACCTTTATGAATTTGTGGCTTTTCTATCGTGCTTTTGCAATTTATAGTGTGATTTCGCATTAAAACGCACAGACAAAGTTCACATCCCCACAAATGAGATCGAAGCTGGTAAATATTTTAATGGAAGTTGGCGATGAGCAAAATCCTTTTTTTTCTGATTTTTTGGCTGATTGTTTCTTTAAAAAGACAGTCATGGCATATCTGAAAAATGTAAATTGTTTAGTGCCCCGAGCAACAACAACAACAAATCATCCCCCTCTGCCCAACCCCACTCGTCATCAGCCTCGTCCTCCTCAACCCCCTCTTCATCGCAACAGCAGACGCCTCAGTTAAGAAGTTCCCCTGACGTGGAGCTAAGAAGGGCGATGGCACTCGTCCAAAATCAGGACTGGTAAGAGAAATTTTATTTTAGTTATAATAGTAACAAGAACATGTAGCACAGAATATTCCGCATCTAGCGCAGAATACCAAAGAACCAAAAAAGTTACTGATTTTTAAAAAACCAAAAATTAGTGTCGTTTTTTGTGCGATGTGTGATAAAAGGATCTGAACGAAAGCATAGAACTTGGGGATATTTGATAATCATAGTAAAATAGGCATATTGAACAACAGTTCTAAAAAAATAAGACATCAGATATTTTTATGAAATTTTTTATTCAGAAGATGGCTTGGTTTAAGTATTGAGTAAGAATTTCACGAGTTTTTCATTTATAATAGGCCTGTCCTTCGCTTTTTTTGTTCAAAATCGACCAAAATTTGAAAATTTCAAACTGGTTTTTCTCAACTTAGAGTATTTTGAGAATTTTTTCAATGTCGTACAAGTCATGACTGATAGACTACACCCATTCCGACGATTATTTTTCGTGTCTGAATTCGCTGGAAAAAAAACCAAAGCAAAAGAGAGAAAACTAAACCACTCGAAGACAAAAGTTCCTCCCCATTTTCAATAGTCGGAACAAAAATGACAAAGAGCTCAAGGCGAGCACCCATGCGAATAACTTACCGAAACCGTTTTTGTTCAATTTTCATTTTGTGTTTGTTATTACATTCTGGACAGAAACAAGCTGGTCTCCAAGTACATATGTTTTCCGCATCAAAATGTCACAAAATTCGAAATGATGTGAATTTGCATAGTGGTTTAAAAGTTATAACGCGTGATACCATTTCTAAATGATACAACTAAGTAGCAGGTATAATAAATTATTTGTCGTCCTCGCATATTTTTCCGTGACTAAAACGACCCCATTTTGTGAATTTGTTTGATATTTTTGTCAATATCGGAGCTTTAACAACAAAATTTAGCTGGGAAAGCAGTGACTTTGATACACAAAAATGTTCAATCTAGAATGTGCGGTAATCATGGAAAAAAGGGCATCATTAGACGTGTATACTTCATCCCTTAATCGCGCGCGAAATTTAGACGAAATGTCAAAGTCATGATCAATACAAAAGAATTTTTCTCAAATAGGTCAATTGAAAATTACCTGTTATGTTGCTCAAGTTATCCGGATAAGTTACAAATAAATAGAAATTTTTTCTCATTGGGTGATTGATGAAACTAAATGCGTCTTCAAAATAGAGTTTGAACAGCTCGCTAGTTTAGTAAATGATGCGATGTTTGTTTATTTTGTGCGGAATAAGTGACAAGACTCTTACATGGTTTTGAATGTTGCAGGGGTTCTAAGTGTGAAGGCATAGCCCTTCTCTCTGTCCTATCCGAGAAGTACCCCGAAGTGTTGGGGGCCCAGATGCACGATGTGAACCTAGCCGTGGTGGCAGAAGTGAAGAATCTGAGGAGTCAAGTGGCTAAAGAGGCCATTAAGTTGATGCGCACTCTGTTCAAAAATCTAGACAGGAGGATGGATTTGGCGAGTTTATTTGTTTTTTTTTAGATTCATCAATTGAGGTTATGTTTCAGTTTATGGCCCTGTAATTGTGCGAAAGCTGGAAAGATGGTTTTGATAAGTTGTTTATCAATTCGCCCTCTCGTGTTACCTCTTTCTCTCTCAACTCGCATGCGAGGAGCAAATGTTGTACTTATTGAATTAAACTACAGATAAGACTAGCAGCATTAAGTTTTGTATTAGAATTGAAAATTCATGAGTAATGACCTGTTTTGTTTTGAATTATTGTATTTTTTGTATGTTGAGTGAAACTCACGACTGATTACACACCATCGAAGCGTCGTGTCATTCCACAATGTCTACTTTTTCCAAGCTAAGTCGCAAATAAAAGTTCATTAAAAGTGTTCACTTATGCTGTTGATGTATGCGATGATTCCAAATAAACCAGCCGAAGTATAAACCAACCAAAATGCACAGAGTATATAAGCCAGCTGAAAAGTTAGGTCTTGTGATGATTGTGATCAATTTTACTGTTGGGCCGTTTGATTTTGATTTCTTTTGAAGTTCCGTCATTTCCGTTGCTTAAGTTAGCGAGCAGCGTAGTGTTTTAGTACCAACCTTTTTTCTAACCTAACTCGAAAATAAAAGTGTTCCTTTATTTCGTGGCTTTTTTTTTACTATAATCACGATCTGTAGCATTGGAAATTTCATAGCATCTGTTCTCTGCTTTATTTGTAGCTAGTGTTGTGAATTATTAAGCGTCCGTAGCTGAGTGGTTTGTGCATGAGACGTATAGTCTCTAGGTCACAGGATCGAATCCGACTCATAATAGATTTTCCACAAATTTTAGGCTTAATTCTAGTTTTTCTTGCACTTTATAGAGCAGCTTTTTCTCGCTTGTGTTTGCGAAGCGCAGCTTAGCTTCTGTGTAAAAGGAAGGCAAACTCCGCCATCAAACAGCATAAGTGTAAATGTCACGAAAAACGTGACTTCTACTTTCGAAAATGGAATTTAATTTTCAGATTTCCTAGCGGTATAAAAAGTTTACCTATTGATCCAGTGTTTCTCAATTTGGGATAATTTAATCAAAAAATTATCAATCATAATTTTTGCTAGAAGTTCGAAGCGCTTTAAGAGCATTTTTTTGAAGTTTGAAAATTGAGACTTCCAAAAAATTAATTCAATATTATCATTATTTTTTTTCTGTTTACTTCCGTTCATTGGCTCTTTTGCAACTCTCTGTTGGCTATGTTTTTTTTCTGGTTTGCTTGAGTTCATTGATTATTTTCCAACTCTCTGTTGGCTATGTTTGTGTTTTGAAAGCTATCTAGTTTTTTTGCTGCCTTCTCGCTTTATTTGCGAAGCTGTAGCTTTTTGTCTATACGCAAATGCTATAACTTGCGTATTTTCGACTGTTTATTTGGTGGCTGACTTATACTTCGATAGAGCATTTCATAGGGATCTCTCTGCAAAATCAGTTTTGCCCAAATATTAGCCGAAAAACTTATAGCGTTATAAAGAGTCCAAATTTTGAAGTTCTGAAGATGTTTCGGAATTTTCCCTGCATAAACGGCTATACCTTTATTTCTGTTGAAATAATTAATGGTCTTAAAAAAGGGTGTTGTTTTGTTTTTTTGACATTCTGACAGTTTTTGTGAAACTTTTTTTTTCTCTAAAAAATACCTTTTCAAATTCCTAACTTTATCCACTTTCCATAGCCTTCGAAGGTTGAAGGTTGGACCCATGTTTTTGGATTTTCTCAAAAACTACCCAGCGAGAATTCAATTCAGAGAACGAGTGTTTGGGAATCCCCCTTATATGTGGGAAATCACTTTTCTTACCAGAGAAGCTACTATTGTTTTGGTTATTTCCTTCCACATTAGTAGAACATATCCTAAACAAAGTCAAACAGTTTCCTCCAGTTTGAGCTGGGACACTAGTATTTAAGTATCTGCAAGACCACATTGCGTAGTTGGAAGGACTTAAGCCTCGCAATCTCTAGGTCTGTTGTTCGAGTCCGGCGCATATAAATATTTAATTTTTAAGACTTCTTTTTGCTTTTTCTTTCCCTTTTTTTTGCTTTTGCCGTTTTCTTGTTAGTGTACGCAAAGTCAGCGTCCATTTGTGGAAGAAAGTGGTGAAGGTGTCTTTTACGGCGACTTAAGTTGTGTGCTGAGTCGGCTCGGCACCAGTTTACTCTGTCCTTTAATTTAACCTTTTGTTTTCAGGACCTTGAACTGACAGTTGGCTGTCTGCTGACCAAAACCAGTGAGTCATCTGGCTTCATCCGAGATGATGTGGAGAAGGCATTGACAACCATGGCAGAGAAAACATCTCCACACAGGGCCATAGCCGCATTAGCACCAAACGCACAGTATGTATTTGAAGTTCTATGTATCATGTTTGTATCGAATGTGTTGAAAACTTGAATCAATCTTTAAATTAGCAGGAAAAGAAAAGATAATTAAATTCGACAATTTATAAGCCAACAACCAATTTTGGCAGGTAAGAATGTTGTGGCTTTTTCCCACGCAACGTCAAGAAAGACATCAGCGTGCGTTAGGATAGACTGGGGTAGAATATTAGCTCCGTATTAGTCCTGATTCCAATCATACTAAGGTTTTGGTTTTTAGGTTTTTTTTATCAGCACCAATTGGCCAATTATTAATAAAAATATCAAAGAATAATCGAGTTGGATTTTCATTTATCCAAGTCGTATAGTTTAAGTCCTTTCGAGGAAAATCTTTTAACTCTCAAATCTATTTTTTGTAGCTTGTCTTGTCTAATTGAAATTTTAGTTCATTTGAGAATTTGAAGACAAATCACGCTCTCCGATAACAAGTGCAAATCAAGCGTAAAATTTAGCTCGACTTGGAGTTTTAAAAGTGGCCGTTTACGTTCAAATTTTCTAACTCTTGAAAGTAAATCAGTCTGTTTTAGCTTTTTTGTTCATTTTTTACTTTGCCAAGTGTCTGTTCGCTATGTGGTCCAATCAGACTAAGAAATTAACTACTGAAAAGTGTAGAAGAATTGTGTTTTCGTCCGACCAGGAAGATCATGTGGAATTTTGTTTTCTGGTATTTTTAACGCAACTTAGGGTACAACGAATAAATCTCAGATATGGTCGATCAATATATAATTTTTTTTTGTTTTTCCAAAGCATTATCTAAAAATCGCCGTTTTGGTAAAATATTGTTGAATTTTTTGTCCGAGCATACCGCGGCAAAAAACAGATTGTATGGTATCAAGCGCATTAATTAGAGCCACTAATATTGTTTAAAACCTTAATAGAGCTAAAATTAAGCACACTATGGAGGTCGTGTGGCTTTTGTTATTTTTCAGGAAAATGAACGATGTTACAGAAGAAAAGGCTATAATTTGATCAAGTTCAAATTTAATTTTTTTTGCGGTTTGACTGATTTCTTTCGAAGTTCAGTTCAAATTCACTTGGCAAAAGGCAAGCTGTTTTTTAATGAAAAATCAATCTTATTTTGAGTTAATTGACTTTTTTCTCATTCTTTTGGCTGTGTTTTGTTCTGCAGAAAAATTATTGGATAGAGCAAAAGTCCACTCTATGATTTTTTTTTATTTATAGAATTTATAGGAAACCGCGGTGCCAAATCTGGGACCAAGAGTTGATTTCAAAAGAAAATGAGCCTCAGGGTTGTCCCTTGTATAAGCGAATTTTCCCAATTTCGGCGGAGAATCCGCTTTGGTTTTTTGTAAAAAAAAAGCGACCATCTTGAAATTTTTTCTAACTTCTAGGAGCAGTTATGTGATACAGGTTTTTTCTGATATTCGAAGTGTGCAAGTTTTTTTTTCAAACTCAATCGTTTTCAGAATTTTCATTTATTTACTACTGCTGTCTGATAGCTATGTCATGCGATGATATTTGTGGTTGATGCTTTTTATACTATGAGTTCGGTTTCATCTGAGAATCAGAAAAATGTATGTAGCGTTGCCAAGTTTTGTGATCGAGTGGTAACCTGGTGAGTGGTTGGTTATTGGCAGCTAAATTGAGCTGTTTACCTGAGTTCGGTCTAGATGGTTGATTCTAAATAACTTTTTTTATTTAACAGTAAGTACAAAATCTGTTCTCTCTGTTAAGTGATCTAAATAAAAATCAAGGTTTATCTGATGTAAGTAAAGTGATATTATATTGAGAAGAAACATCACCAAAATTGAACTGTGATTTGCAGCTTGTTTTTCGAATAAATCGATGCTTTGGTCTGGATTGAATATCCACATGGCAACTATAATGATGGGTGATATATTACAATAGGTGGCAGGTTATAGTTCACTAAGGTTATAGGTGGTAGGTTATCACCCACCCTATCATGTTCCTGCATCGACTGAAGGAAGAAAAATGATGCTGGCTAAACAGAACAAGAAACTATTTTTCTCGGGATGGCCGAAATTGTGGGTTTTAACGTGATAACTTTTAAATTATGGGTTTCAGCTTTTAGAAAAGTTTTCTCTCAACAGACTTTGAATACGTTTTCCTGATTTCAGACACAAGAGCAAAGAGGTGAGGAAGACGTCTTCATACATCCTGTGTATAATAGTGGAGAGAGTGTTGGATCCCTCTAGAGGCCTTGGAAGACAGGGAAGAGACTGCATCAATCAAGCCATAGCTCCTATTGCAGCTTTCGCATTGGATAGTGCACCAGAGGCTAGGTTGGTTGTAAAGCCGTCTATTTGAGACTCAATTAACCGGGTTATAAAAATAAACTTGTAGTCTCTTTTATTCAAAAGTTCAACAATTTCTGCCGTTTCTGTGTTGAGAAATGTTGCCTAACCCTCTTCAAAGTAATGAGCTTCCAAACTAAATTTGAAGACACAAGTAGTTGATGATGGAGAGATACGATTTTTTATCCGTTCTGAATTAAGTTAAGTATTTGCGTTTTGCTCTTTATGTGAGAACACCCTAATTGCATATATGTTGTGCATTCATTTTTCCAGTTCCATTCTTCAAGGCTTATTTACTTATTTTTTTTGCAGTTTAAAGCCCAACTGTTGACATTTTGCTTGGTTTGCGAAGTGCTTCGCCTTAATGTAATGGATGGATTAATTTATGCAGGTCTACATGATCAAAGTTCACTGAAATTAGATGAATTTGATTTAGGTTCTACGGGAAGAAAATGCTGTGGATGCTAATGCAGGAAGATCACCAGTACCTGGACACTCTGCTGCAGAAATGTGTGCAACCATCCAATGTGCATCCGATGAAGAAACTGCTGGACAATCTCAGGAACAACGGGGGTCCGGGGGAACACCCGAATGAGACGCCGAGTGCGAAGTTGGCGAGGAAGCCCAGTTATAATAACAGGACCTTCAGTGGTGGCTCAGTGAGGTGAGATTAGCTGTCTGTCAAATATTAATTGAACTGCATTTACAAAAATATTGATCAACAAGTAAATTATATGAATTTTTATGTATATAGTGTTTCGCATACGAAATTAATTCAAAATATACCGTAGTGGAAACAAATGCAGCGAAAACAAAATTTTTTTTCGCCCTAAAAGAATTTGAGCAAATTCAGTGTCCTAGAATTTGATTTTAGCGTCTCTATGTCCTAGCCTTGTAATTTTAAAGCACAATTTCAATATGATGATTTTGACCGTCATCGAAACTACATTGTCAAAACCAAATTAAGTGAGTTGTCGTTTAGTTAAGTTAATATTTAAACTGCATTTATTTTCTGTAACAACTATTAACTTGTATATACAGGGCTGATTACACTAACGAAGCGAGTGTATTGGTACGATTCTTTTTTTTTTCAACCTAAGTCGCAAACTTTTGGGCACCCTTTACAGCTTTTTCATAGCATTTGCTTTGACATCAGAATAGTAATAAGTTAACACAGTTGATGCATTTTTAATTCATCAATTGACCCGAAGAAAGATATTTGTTTCAAACAACATAACAATAATGAAAACTCGATTTCAGAAATTTTCTAGCTTAATATTTCTCGCATTTTTTTCAAATGCATAATTTATATCTAATGTGGCTTTATGTTTTGCGATTTTTTACATGCAAAGTTAGTGCCGATGCCTTCAGTTTGTTATATTCCAAATTATGACTTGCAAAATTGAGTCTATTTGTATTTGGTGCCACTTTTGCTGAATTGCATGTAGCTGCTTTGTTCGTGGCTATTGTTTGTCGGATGTTAAGCTTGCATGACTGAGTGGATAGTGCGTGAGACTCAGAATCTCTTGATTGCAGTAGGTCGCAGATTCGAACCCTACTGAGTTTTTGCTAATTCGATGCTTATTTCTACTTTTGCTTATTTCACTTGGTATAGCTGCTTTTTAGTCGTGTTCTCGCAAGTGTTTGCGAAGCGTAGCTTCGCCCCTGTGTTTAGATTATTCTGACAAAATGCACAGAACTTGAAATATAAAATGCTTTTTCATAAATTAGGTCGACCTCGGACAAATTGATTAAGACAAATTTTCCTCAGAACTTTAACAGAATTCATATTTAGCAAAATTCGGTCCCAAAATTTTTTCCCAAAAATAGATTTTTTTTTGGCTTTTGAGTCAATCAAAAATTACATCACAACTACCTAATCGATCAGTGACATACATAATGATATCAAAGTGACCTTCTTACATAGCTCAACAAACTTTAAGAAGGGTATAATATTCAAAACATTGTATGAATCATTTTATTTTTGTTTGATAGGCAAAAAAGGTCGTTTTTACTATGTAACAGGGGCGGATCTAGGATTTTTTTCGCGGGGGGGCGGATTTTCAAAAAATTTTCGAAAAATTTAACGACATTTGAAAAAAATCCGTTTTTAGGCACTTTTTGAAAAATTTTGACAAAAAATCGCTCCTCCTCAAAGTTAAGATCATTTATCCACGCGGGATGGGACCAACATACGAGCTGTACAGCTCATCACGGCGAACAGCTGTTGTGCCCCTACTTAAGAACTACATGCAATTTTTTTGGTTAATTTTCTGGGCTGGGTAATGTTGCCTCACCCTCAAGCAACGAGCACGGATCATGGTGGGCCTCGAACATCCGACCTTTCGATGAGAGGCGGAGACGTAACCACTTTACCACTGCTCCCCTTAGTTAGTATATATTGGCGCCCAAGGCGCCTTTAGAAAAATTTTAGGGTCGGTCGGCAAAAAATGGATTTCTTAAAAAGTACCAAAGGGGGACCCTTTGGGTCGGCAGGGCGTCGAATCCCTGAGGGGAGGCGTCCGCCCCCCCCCCTAAATCCGCCCCTGCTATATAACACACCCTTTTATGTTTAAAAACAATTTTAAAACTTTTTGCGCAATTTTTTTTTTAAAGATTGTACCTTACTTAAATGTTAAGCTATGTAAGAGGCTAACTTTGACACATTGTTTTTAGCAATCGACTCTGTAGTTTAAGCATTGTTCTTGATTGACTAAAAACGCCAAATGGTCCATTTTGGGGTGAAATTTAAGGCCCGAATTTTGCAAAACAATTTGCTCTTTATCAATTCTGCTAGATTTTTAAGAAAGTTTTGACTTCATCGTTTTCACCGAAATTTAACACAATTTCAGAAAAAGGCATTTTAAATTTCAATTTTTTGTGTTTTGTCCGGATAATTTGAATCAGCTCTGTAGTTGCTGAGATACTTTTAAAATGGTACAACTAGAGTAGTTCATGTATGTTCGGATATACAGTCATAGGAGAAAAAAGTTGCAATCATGAAGTGGACGAATGTTTTTTTTTGCTACTTTTGTAGGATACACAGCGGAAACGTTCATACAATAGGGATGAAACAATTTGAAGCAATCTGTCCAGATTGAAACAAAAAAAAATAGTTTTGATGGATCCATGTAGCCTTTCAATCATAACTCATTGCTGAGGTGTTTTGTTTTCAAAAAATTCTGTTGAAGAGCACAGAGTTTTTGAATTGAGATGGTGTAATCAGTCGTCTGTCAAAATTGAAGCCTTTTATTCAGTCCATGTCAAAAACGTGGCGAAAATATCCATTCATTTCATTCGTTGAAAACAATGGTGCAAGTTGCAAAGTATGATGCTTTGATTGTGTTTATTTATGTTGGAGAAATTATATTCTTTTTGCTTAAAGAGTCACGAACGTTTGATGTTTTGTTTGTTTCTTTTCCAGGAAAAAGTCTTAAAATTTGTTCAGGCTCAAGTTTGATTTAGAATTACATTAATTTTTCCTGAGCTGGCTAATGCTGCCTCACCCTCAAGCAACAAGCGCGGATCCATTTGAAACGTCAATGAAATGTCAAAGTAATTTTTTTTTCGGAAATTGCTTTACAAACATAGAAAATTATACAGGTTTTTGAAGAGAGTCGATGAACGTAGTTCAGACTCTTATAATGGTCGCGATTATTTTTAATTGTTTTTTTTTCAGGCTCAAATTTTTTTTCGCGGCTTGAATTTTGATTTATTTTCAAGTTCAGGACTTCTCTTTTGTTTAAAGGAAGGCAAACTCCACTATCAAATAGCAAAAGTATAAAGGTCACGAAAAACGTGATCGACTTCTAGTTACGAAAATGAATTTAATATTCATATATTATCAGTACCATAATCTACCCCCTCAAGCGAAATAGAAATTTTCTTTTTTTTTGATCCAGCTTTCTCAAATTGGGTTAATTTTATAAAAAAAACTCAATCATAAATTGTTCTAGAAATTCAAAGAGCTTTAACGGCATCCATTTTTTCTTTCTTTGAAATTCCAAAGCTTAGACTTTTTCGAAAAAACAAGTCAGTGTTTTTTCTGTTTACTTGCGTTCCTTGACTCTTTTCCAACTGTCTGTTGGCTATGTTTTCTTTTTGCAACTTCTTGGTGCCGTGATTTTACCATGTTTCAATGTAAATTTCAAAAATTGTCTTTACTCCAGGCTGGAGTCGGTCGCTGCTGAAAACGAACCCATCCAAAATGGAACCTACCCTCCCCCCTCTCAAAAGACCAACAATAACAACAGCAACGCTCCTGAGGCGAGACATCCCCCCAAACAGACGAGGGGTCCGAGACTGAACGATGACGACAAGGAGTGTGTGAGGTCCCTGTGTGCTAATCTGAAGGCCAATGACTTCAGGGAGAGGGAGGGAGGGATACATACTCTAGTGGAGTTGTCTGGAGATAGACCGGACTTGGTGGGCTCAAATATAAACGGGGTCCGTCAGTTATTGGGCTACTTTTGTGGCAATTGTGTTACTCTTGTAATCCCCCTCCATTGTTTTGTGGCAATTGTGTTACTCTTGTAACCCCCCTTCATTATTTAGTGGCAAATGTGTTACTCTTGTAACGCCCCCCCCCCCCCCTCTTGTAACTCCCTTCCCATATTGTTAAGACAATGTATCCACAACAGCTCTTCATTGTGAGCGGCTGTTGTGCCCCTGCTTTAGAATTACATTAATTTTTCCTGAGCTGGGTAATGCTGCCTCACCCTCAAGCAACAAGCACGGATCTTTTTACACGTCAATTAAACGCCAAAGTGAAAGTTCTTTCTGGAAATAGATATACAAACTCTTAAAACACTGAAAATTATACAGGTTTTTGAAGAGTCGATGAACGCAGTCGATTATTTTTTTTCGGGAATAAAAACTACCTATAGATGCAGTTTTTTCAAGTTGGGTTAATTTTATCAGCAAAAGTATCAATCATAAGTTGTTCTAGAAATTCAAAGAGCTTTAAGCCTTCTTTTTTTGTCTCGTAAAATCGAAAGTTTTTTTTTCTTTTTTCTTGCATTCATTGACTCTTTTCCAGCTGTATGTTACTGTGTTTAGTTTTCAAGATGAAATTCTTGGCCACAAACTGTCCGCGTGCTTTTAAGGGAACGTGTCAATATGCAGTTTTCGGCCTTTTTTGTTTTGATTTAAAATTCGTTTAGTTGGCACACGCCTTCGAAATTAATTTATATTGGTTAATTTATATTGGATAATTTATAATAACTTAATTTTCAAGTTTGTCGATCGAAATGGATGCCTTGAAGTTGTACCAAAGGAGGTGCCTTTGGGTCGTGATCCTAATTATCAAGAATATTATAGCCTCAACAAACTTATAGTTTTTGATGACGATTTTTTCGACAACCCAGTGATTTTGATGATGATTTTTTGATTGGTAGATGCTAAGAGTGCGTTATCTGTGAAAGAGGTTTTGTCTGTGATACTGATAACTGTTGTTTACTTTTCAGATCTTCGACGTGTTCGTGCAGCGTCTTAATGACTCCAACAGCAAAGTGAACCTCCTCGCTCTGCAGAGTATGTTGAAACTAGTACCCCTGCTAAGAGACTACTTCTCAATTGTGGCCAATATGGTCGTACCAGCTGTGGCTCAGAACATGGCATCTAATAGAACGGAAATGAGGAATCTCAGTTTGGACATAATTGATGCCATGATTGACCATATTGGTGAGTCAAAATGACCCTATTTGTATATGTTACCAGAAAAAAATAAATAAAGTTGCAATTCAAAAAAAAATGTTCAAGATGAACCGCATTGCGTTGTAAGAGGCAAATTGTCGGTTTTTAAGTGTAATGAACGTAGTGAAGACTCTTACGTAGTGAAGAATACTTGGTGACTTTTTGTTTTTTTTGTCAAGAAAAAGGCTAGAATATTAATGCTTTTATGAATGCACTTAGGTATATATGCACTTTTTAAATTCAATTGAAATTCATTTCCAATACGAACGCGGAATTGGCGCAAAAAACATGAACTATTTCTAGTTTCGAAAGTGGAATTTGTTTTTAAGATTTCCCAGCGGAATAAAAACTTTACCTATAGATCCAGTTTTCAATAGTTGGGTTCATGTTATCAAAAAAGCGCCAATTATAAAGAGTTCTAGAAATTCAAAAAGCTTAAAGGGCATCTATTTTTTTCGTTGAAATTCGAAGTTTTTTGAACAAAGTGTTTTTTTTTTCAGTTTCCTTGCGTTCATTTCTCTTTCCAACTGTTAGTTGGCTGTGTTTGCTCATGTCAGTAATTGAGTAATTGTATGGCACGTATTTGAATTAAATTTGGAGCAAAATGTCGAAGTTATAGATTGTTTAGTGTTTTTTACCCGTTCCCCAACCTCTCAAAGGACAAATGTGGTAACCCAAATTGAGGAAGAGGCTTGGACCTCACCTAAACACGCTTTGGCTCACAATTTAAAGGGTTTTTATTTTTAACGCTACAATTTTGAGACCTGACATTAATTTTTTTTACATTTAAATTGATTTTGATTCCTTCGAAACACGACATAGAGGAGCTATCAGTAGGTCCTATGAGGTCTGTTGAAGAATAGTCAATTGTGGTCGGGATTTGGCGCATTATTAACAAACCTGTTCGTTTATTTTCACGCGTTTATATTTGACCGACTAGAATTCGATGTGACTATATTCGATGTTTTTCATTTGCCCTCCTGTTTAGACCAGGCGAGTCTGCTTCAGCCGTTGTCCACCCTAGCCAGATATGGCAACAGCAGAGTCCGTCCAGACATCGTCTTCAAACTAGCCAGTGAGCATTGCACACAAAATATATTAATCTATTTCAAACAATCGAATTTTGTTTAAACAAATCTGTCCACGACGTCAAAGAGATCATGCGTTGATAAAAAAAATGAAACTGATTTTCGTATAAATATTTTAATTTCACCTTTTTGAAGCAGCGTTTAAAACAAGCTCCCATCGGGAAGAAAATTCGTATCAACGTTTTTTTGTTAAAGCTTAAGTATATCAACGTTTGCGTAGTTGCGGATTTTGTATGCTAATAGCTCCGAGAAGTCTCATTTGATATCATTGGCGCTTCACATTTCAGCTCATGTTTTCGATAACATATATGGTTTTGATTATAGTTGTTAACAATAGGAGATGAAAAATTTGACTTCTTTTGTAGCTCTTGTCACGCACATGTACCCTCGCAAGCCACAGATGGTAATCAGACAAGTCATACCTGTTCTCTGGCAACTAGTCGGCAACATCTCCGGGTCAGGTGCAGTGGCGGGCTCTGGAACCAACTTGAGACAAGCAGCTCAGAGGCTAGCAACGCAGTTGTATTCCTTCATGGGACAGACCTTAATAGACATGGCTGAAAATGAGTTCACGACTCCAAGGAATTTGCTCACACTGAAACAACTTGTCGAAGTATCATGAAATCATGGGATAGTGCCGAAGCCATGTCATGGAATTATATATGTCCATGAAAATTGATCTAGTCTCACAAGTTTTACTGTTGCCTTCCACTTGTTGCAGTTGCGGACAATGCAATTACAATACCAACTTGTCAAATATTACCGTGAATAGAATCAATTAAAAACTCGAGATTTATCTTGATAATTGGGAGTTTTCTGTTACATAAGAGGCTGGTTATTTGGTCTCAGTGTTCAAAAAGAAAGTCAAACTCGTTAAAGCTCACTGACTTTTTCGTTTCTTCACATGGTGCTAATTTGTATCTTCATTGCCATTTATTTTTGTAACTTGTAAAATGTATATAAAATGGAATTTCCTCACAAAGAGTTTCTTGTCTTCTAAAGCGTTTATGAATAAGAAAGTAAATAAATAAAGCTGAAAGTGGTGCAAACTGTGTGGGGGCTTTGAAGAGATATAGAAGACGTCTTCAACTCTCTCTTTTCGTTTTAGTTAAATTGATAAATCACTGTGCAGTTTATGTCAGTTAAGTAACTTCCAAATAACTTTGCAAGTTATTGATTCAGTTCAATTATTATTTTTTGATGTAATATCAATTTAGAATAAGTATAAATCTCTTCATTTTTTAGTAAGAGGTCAAAAACGTCAGATATGCACAATCGTGGAATTTTTGTTATGTTCAAGTGTTATTTAACGAGAAGTGACGTCTTTTTTATTCAAGTCGGCTGGTTTCTCTGGTGTTTTTTCAAGATCGTCTTAAAATTGTTCATGCTCAAATTTTGTTTTTCGCGATTTCATTTTGGAATTCTTTTGAAAGATCAATTCAAATTTAAATGCGAATGACAAAAGTGGTCTTTAGTTTTCAGAATTCCCAGCGGATACAAATGAACCCTATTAACACAATTTTCTTTTTTCAGGAAAAGTCTTGAAATTTGTTCACGCTCAAACTTACTTTTTTGCAGTTTGACTTTTGGTTTCTGTTTTAGTTCAATTCATTCCATTGATTGAAAAGAAGGTAAACTCTACTATCGAACAGCAAAAGTGTAAAGGTCATGAAAAACGTCAGATTTACCTTCCTTGTTACTTAATATGCATTTGCCTAACAGAAGGCAAATTGAGCTCTCCAGTCACGAAAGTTCAAGTGGAACTAACATTCGAAGTGGCTTCAGTGTGAACTTATACAAATTTCAATGGAATTCACCAACTCCGATTTCAGTGTATCATTTTTTTCTTTTCATTTTCTCTTTATTCTGCTTAATTAGTTTCGCCTTAAAGTCGCATTATATAAAATAATTTTAAAAATGTTTTTCGGCTTTGCTACCGCTTGGTAAGTTTTGTTTCGATGCTTCCTAAACCTTTCAGTGTTCGACTTCTCGGCGAATTTTCTTGGCCAATGATGAAGAAACAGCTGCAAAATCTTATAATTATGTGGCAGGTGATTGCCGTAATCGCTTAAAATGATACAGCCAGTGTAGGTCGCGTATCTTCGGATATATAGGCACAGGAGATGCTACCAATTGAACGAACGAAGATTTTTTTCGCTGCGCGTGTTTTCTATAACTAATATAAGATACAGGGCGTAAATATTGATAGAACGAAAATAAGCTTTTTATATATCCATTATCGGTTATATTCACTCTAACGTGTTAGTGTATTAGTACGAATCTTCTTTTTTGCTAACCTAACTCGCAAACAAAAGTGTTTCATTAAATGTTCACTTATTGGTGGCACTTTTAGTATAATCACGATCTGTAGCATTGGAATTTTCACAGCACGTGACTTCTACTTTGGAAAATAGATTTTAATTTTCAGATTTTCCAGCGGTATAAAAAATTTACCTATTGATCCAGTGTTTCTCAAATTGGGTTAAATTGCTATCAAAAAAGTGCCAATCGTAATTTGCTTGCGAAGTTCAAAGAGCTCAAAATAAATAATTTTTATTTTAATTTAAAAGCTAAAAATTTTTTCACATAAGTTAGTTTTTTTTCTGTTTAATTGCGTGCATTGACTCGTTTCCAAACAACTGTCTGTTGGCTATGTTTATTTAAAAAGTGTCAATCATAGACGATTCAACAAATTTATTTTTTGATTTATGTTTGAAGCGAATTTCGAAAATTGAAAAACCGGAAAAATGATGATAATTGAACTTTCGAAATTCGGAGAAAAACAGATCACGCTGGCCTTTTTCTTAACAATTGGTCTCTTAGTTTAAAAAAATCTGAAAGTAATCCAAAAATACTAAGATTTAAAAAATGGCCATCTAAATCAAAAAACCGAAAAAGGATGATCCTTTCACTTCCAATTTTCGGCGAGAAACATATCATGTTAGCTTTTTCTAATACAAAAATGGTCTCATAATTGAACATGATCCGACAATAATTCAAGAACACTTATTACACTTGAAAAAAGTCAAGTAATTTAAAAAAACGAAAAAGGATGATCTTTTGAGTTTATTGGCTTTGTTGAGTGAAAGTGTTCTTGAATTACTGTCGGATCTTGTTAAATTACAAGACCAGTTTTTAAAAACATATTTGAAATAACATCAATTGTTTTCCGCCGATTTTCGGAACTAATCAGCTCTGTGAGTTAATTGGCTTTTTTCAACTGTGAGTGTTCTTGAATTACTGTCAGATCTTGTTGAATTACTAGACCATTTTTTTAAAAAGCTAACTTGATATGTTTTTTCTCTGAATTCCGAGCGATGAAAGATCATCCTTTTTCGGTGTTTCAGTGAATGAATTACTGTCGGATCTTGATAAATTACGAGACGAGGCATTTCATTAAAAAAGCAAAATTTGAATTTTTTTGTTCAATTTTGCGTTCATATAGGTTATAAGAGATATAAGAACCCATTGTCGTCAAGAGTCAACGAGGCTAGAATAACAACAAGAACATAGCAGCTCAGAGTAGCTTCTTTCAATGTATGAACACTTCCAAGCAAGCTAATGTTCAGAAGTTCTAATTTTGTCCATGAACAGTTGTCCGACACTAGAACCTATTAAGAATAATGAACATAGTGACAGCTTTTTGTCGGTGTTGGTGATTTTGTTTTATATTTCGTTCACGCTAAAACTTGATTTTTCAACGGTTGTTTTTTGATTTCTTTTTAAATTCATTTCATTTCTTTTGTTGAAAGGAAGGCAGACTCCACCATCGAACAGCGATTACCTTGAAAACACGTTTAATTTTCAGATTTCCCTGTGGAACTAAAAATTTACCTATTGATCAGTGTTATCAAATTCGGCTAGTTTTATGCAAAATTAGTCCATTCTAAGTTTTCTAGTTACCTAAAAGAGGTTTCAGGCCAAGAAATTTCTACTTTGAAGTTCGATAGTTAAAAATCGGGTTTATTTTGTTTTTTTTTGCTCGTGACTTTTTCCAACTGTCTGTTGGCTATGTTGAAAGGCAGCAATGCAATAGTTTTTTTTGCATGTGCTGGAGTTGATCAAAAAAGAGAAGGCTGAGAACCCCATTGTCATCTGGCACGGATGCATTTATGTGTACTTAACTCAACATGTAAAGGCGTTAACTCACGATTGAACTTGTAAAGGCGTCAAGCCAGTCATCTCTATGAGCAGTAGCTCAGACGTCAAAAAATGAGCAGAAATACTTGAGATGGCAGTGTTTGCAAAAGATGGCATCGAAGTAGTATGAGGGGCCGCCAGGGATCCTTAGGCGGTGGGGGCGGCCAAAATCACCTAAAATAAGACGTGGGCGCCTAAGATCCGACACCTAAGGGGTACAAAATTATCTTGTAGTCAGCCGGCATTTTGCTGGTGGATTACAAGATCCTCACTTGAGGATTCAAATTTTTGGGTGGCCTGCCCCCTGAGGATTTTACTAAGAGTCATATACCCATGTAGCAAATTTCTAGATCCCTGGCGGATAATCAAAGTAGGATCCTTAAAAAATTTTTCACCCGATTTATGTTTAGAAAAAAGCATAAATCAGCATTCTTTCGTCCTTTGGTACGTTCGACTTGGAATGCTGCCATACTTTTGGAGTGGGTAATAAAACAAAGCAAGTATAGCTTTGGCCAGCATAGTTTTAACGGTCTATTGAATGCTGTAGAGTGTTTCCATGATTTAAATGTATTAACACTGAAACGTATGTAAAACATAATTACTCACCAAGGTTGCAATCCCGTTGCAGTCGTCGCTGTTACGTCTAGACGATAACGTAATAATAATTAATGGTAAAATTGTGGAATAATGAATTGCGAAAAATGAACTTAATGGGAAGTTGGCATACAAGTGACATTGATTCGGAGCATTTATCTTTCACTGTTTTTTCAACTGGGTGTCAAATAAAAAACGAATACATTCACAATCGTCATATAGTTTTCGTGTCGAGAGCCAAAGAAATTGCAAATAGAGAATATGCAGAAAGTTGTAAAGAACAGTTTTATCTGGATGAGCTTTTACAAATAACGTGGTGTATTTATGCAAAACAGAAATATGGAAAAGCAACTGATTTGACCTTTGCTACCTATGAAAATATCTTTGATTATTCATTTGATTTCAACTCAATGATGATTGAGAAAGAGCTGGAGCGAAAAATACGACTTTGTTTTAATAAACTTTCAAAGTATCAAAAACTTCCGGTAGTTTATCTAAATAGATACCATCGAGATATAGGTCTAAGTAAGTGGTATCTGGAAGGTTACTTTCATTTCCATTGGCTTGAAATTAAGCAGGTCGGAGAAGTGTTAGCAAAAATTAAAAATGAAATTGGAAAAACGAACTGTAACTTCAACGGACTTGGAAACTATCCATGAGATATTTATTACTTTGAAAAAAACGTATCCAGAAAACACCAACCGTCGGAATTATTTTTTAGCTGCATGTTCCTTATTCTTCTTCTCGACTACTAACGATATAAACTACGTAGTTGCTATCAAGCTGAGACCTTATGGTGGACTAATCGGGATAGAAAATTCTTCGTTAGACAAATATTTAAGTGATTCAAAAATTTTACGAATGCATGCTATTTTACACGATGCCGCCGGTTTTGTCCGCGAAGTTTATAACACTGGTCCCACATACTGCTATGTTTACCATGGAACTGCAACAGTAGTCTGATTGGTCATTTGAGTGGAATTACGTTTTGTTTGTATATCAAACTGAGGAAACCGAAACTCTACCATTTATTAGAATGCTGAAGGAAAGTTCAGTTGTGTTGGATTTTGAGGGATTTCGACACCAGAAAAACACATTTATAGTAAAAAAAATTAGCTATAACCACTTCCGACTACAGTGATTCCCTAATTTTTCTACCTCCAGTTAACTTCAATTCCCTTCCAAAATCTGAACAAAAAGCCTACAACACCTGCTGACTAATTATTTGCACGGACTTCATTGGGATAGCGGTGATTATTTATACCTGAATTTGAACCAAATCATTCAAAGTTTTGTCTTAAGAAACCCCAATGCTATATTCTACGCCAAAGGAAAAGAAAAAGCTGATTTTTTATCCAAATACTTAGACCGCAAAGTTGTAACTGAAATAACTCGAGGATTTGTTGTTTTTCTAATGAAGCTTCGGAGCTGGCTGGGATTCAATTGTACTATGTGCTGCAGAATAGATAATTTTTTCGCGTTCATTTGTGAGAGG